AAAACACAAAATCACTCTAATTTATCAACTTGTGCCTAAATGTAGAGTACAGTCAACCAAATGGAAGATTGTGGTATAAGTAAATGTACTACGGAGAAAATAAAATTAAAAATTCTTCATTATTTTTTATGTTCTGTTCATGAAGCTAGTCAAGGTTCTTATTCCTGACTCATTACATTCGGAACATTTTCAGAAAAAAATATTCATTCCTTGTTCTTCTTTATTCCATTTTATATTTCAATGTTAAAGTCTGGCTTGGGAAAATTTTTTTCCATGGAAATGGCATACTTCTCCTATATCGTGATGTTCTAATAATAATTACTAACAAGTGTGAATAAATCCTAGTTATACAGGATTATCTGAATGTTTCCTTAATCTGAAGCAAAGTACCCATGTGAAAAATAGTTTATCTAAAAAGTCCTCCACGAATACATCTTTTCTCGTCCTACAGCTTTTCTTATTTATCACTCAAGTCATTGTGTACTTTCTTTCATCTAATTGTGAAGTATTCCTGGTTGAATACTAACATTGATTTGTTTAACTGATTTTAAGTACGGTATATTTTGGTCAATGCGTGGGGAAATGAGGAACTGGCCCTGCTGTTTCTAAGATCATACTGCATTTTTTTAGAGTAACAGTTCAGTTAAAGAGAAATGTGTTTAGTCTTGTGAATTTTTTACTTATATGTTCTGCTCATGATAAATCAAATTTCTACATGTGCCAGGACTGCGTGTTCCAATGTTATTAAATAATGCTTTTCAAAAGTGGTCTTTCTTATGAAATATTAAAAATCGTTAAAATTTTTTAAAGTTGGTGACTATAGTAGATCATTATATGGACTTCTGCATTTTACCTATTTTTGTTAATTATTTGTGTGTAATTTTATTATTATCTATGAGAAGTTAAATGTCAAAAGCTGTAAAAGTCATTATTAAGCATGTCAGTTTGAAATTTCTATAACCGAAAGAATAAGTGTAATCCGAACTGTGTAAGTCTGTATTTATTAGGGAAAGGAATCAGAAATACAGCATAAATAGGTTTATAAGTTAAATATAAGGTAAATGTGTAAATGGAAAGTGTAAAAATTACCCTTGTCAGACATAGTTTGGTGAATCCTTTGAATAAAAGTAAGACGTGGAAAAGGGATCATAAGTTTATAGTTGGCCAAAAAGTTAATACCAGTAATCTTAGTACAATGCATTAGAAGGAAAAGTTCTGAGTATCTCCAATTAAGTAGTAAAAAAATAAGAAAGTAGTATCCAGTTAACTATATAGAAAGCATGGTAATTGGCTTAAAGTTACAGAAAATATATCTAGTAGTGAAGTTATGCATGTAATTCAGCTTAAAATTCAAAGACAGAGAAATGTAGGTAAGTTTACTTTTGGAGAAATGGAAATGTAACACTATATGTATTTAAAACAAGGGGAAAAGTTAAGGTTAAATAAAAATGTAAAAGAAACTTAAGGAAAGGGGGAAAAAATGAAATTTACTTTAGGAAGTAAAATGATAAGGGAAAAAAAAAACTGCATTTGTGTAAACAAAAACTCAAAAAATTAAATTTATTGAAACTAAATATTACTTTTGTAAAAAATTAAGTAAATGTCGTAACACCTTTTTTTTTTAATAAAAGCGAAAGGAAAAATTAAATTTTAAAATAAATATTACTTTGTAAAATAAAAAAAAAAAAAGTCCTAAAAAAAAAAAATAATAAAGTACAAAAATATTACTTTTGTAAAACCCAAAAAGAAGTTAAACAAAAACAAAATAAAGTAAGTAAAAACGCGAAAAGGAAAAAAAATTGGAAAAAAAAATACTTTTCAAAATAAAAAAGTGAAAAGGAAAATTCAGTTCGTAAAATAACTATTACTTTTAAAACCAAAAAGAAAATTAAATAAAAAAAAATAAAGTAAAATACAAAAAAATAAATTTGGAGGGGAAAAAAAAAAAAAAAAAAAAAAAAATGCAAATCACTTTTGTAGAAATAACGTCAATTTGAAAAGTTAAAATAAAATTAATGCTTCGGAAGGAAAAACATATTAAGCAAAAAATTAATAAATTAACTAATAACTTTAACAAATAGTAAAATAAGATGAAAATGAAAACATTGGCTGAAATAAGATAGATATTGTAGCAAAATTGCGATCGGTTGTTAGATTGTATAGTTTCCAGGGCAGATGTAGAAATCGTGAAGTGATTTTCGGCATGCTGCAACGTGAAAGACTGACGTTTGCCTTTTTCCCAGGCTATTGTAGGTGATTCGCTCAAACAGAAAAATAAACAGGTTTAATAGGAGGAATTAGCCGAGCGGTTAAAGCGCTAGACTCCCATCTCAGAGATGGCGGGTTCGAATCTCTCTCGTCGATTTTTAAAAGTGAGGGAAAAGAAATTAATTTCATAAAAATCATAAAGTTAATATAAAATAATACTAATAGTTAAATAATGGGTAATAATTAAAATTAAATGATAAATTAAAGTGGTGTCATTCCAAACACGTGGGTTGAGATACCGTTGCCATAAACATAACAAGTATTGTCCTGCTACGAAAAAATAAAAACTTTCAAAAAATAGGGTCGTTGCCACAGAATCAAAACGAAATATTATGACGTCATTCCAATGGTCCCTTTCGGAGAAATCGAAGATGGCGCTGATATCGTCAGTTTCGGTTGTCACGTGATCCAAGATGGCGGTGGCGGCACATCAAAAAGGTATACCCCTGTTGCGTTATCTATTGTTCTATTACGTCATGGCGGCATCCTTTGGCCGCATATAGTGGGGGATATACTACTCTTTTCTTTGGTTTAAAGAGAATATGATAGGTAGTAAAAAGAGGAAAAATTACCTGAGTAAATGCAATATATAATAAATAGAATAAGCAAATGCTGAATGCTTTATAAAGCAAAGTTCATTAGAGGAGAATAATTTGCTGAATTTCCTTACTTTTATAATATCACGTGTTTCTCGATCTGTTCTGAAGTGCTCCTTTATGTGGACTAATTTTTCAAGAGCAATACTCCATGCCCCATGGAATGTTTCGTTTTTCAAGTAGAAGGTTAAATTCAGAGGTATTTCATAGTCCAGGTGCCCAGCGGAAGCGAGAGCAAATGCTTCAAACAATAGATTAACTCGGTCAGACGAAGAGAATACCTTAAAAAAAAAAAAAAAAAAAAAAAAAAAAAAACTAAGTTATAGCATATATCATGATGTCAGTTGAGTATGCTCTACGACTATACTCTATATCTGAAACAATACACGACTCTACAGTTTTAATTTTAATATATAGTAATCGACAGTTCCCTATTTTCAGGTAAATAAACTGCAAGCTGTAAATCTGATGAGTAGAAAAGAAAATTTAATCAAGAAATAGTCTTACATATTTTCGTTTGTAAAATAACAGAAGTAAAAGAATAACTTAAATATATTTATATTAAAAAGGCATTTAAAGTGATAATGGTGTTATTTGCTGCTTGTAAGAAAGAATGAAACTGAAATTCTAGCTATAATGGTTAATTTAAAGTGAATAATTTATAGACCTTTAAAGAAAACTGCTTAAGCATTTCCTTTCTTTTGTTCACAAGTATTGCGTACGTTTGGTATACCGAAAGCATTTTCATACAAATAAATTATACGTTTTCTAATTCTAAAAATGCGTTAATAATATTCACATGCTTACTTTAAGGAACATAATATGGTAGTCAGTAAAATAAATGACAGAACTACAAATATTTTTCATTTTTAATTTATGCAAATACTGTAATAAGTTACCTATGTGATAATATTTGAAGCCTGACTCTGTATTTAGAACGTAAGTTTTATAAAATTCTGTAAAATCTCATTTTAAAAAAATACTACGCAAAAACTTTCGTCAAAGTCTTTTAAGATAATAAAATGATTTCATAAATCTTTTTTTAGAAAAAGCAAGCCTTAAAAATGGGCGATGTCGAGCTTCTTAGGGAAACAAAAATCCTCATCTATTTATCTAAATCTTATCCTCCAGGAAGTACGGTAAATTCAGGAGAGTGTGTTTAGAAATGGGTAAATGTTTCAGTACTAAAAGTGATCACAATAGTAGTGCTGCATTTGACGATTCGGTATCAGCGGTTTTAGCGACTCGCCAATTTACAGCAGAAGATGGAAGGATAACCGTTGCTCATGCTTGTAAATTAACTTCAAATTACAATGCATTTAACATATTAACATACTAAAACACAAAATAATGAAATAAAGGGCTGAAATACGTCCAACACTAGTAACGTCTCATGGAAAAGAGCACCTGCGTATCCTTTCAAAAAGATGCAACTATATATAGTTAATGAAAGTGATTGTTTGTTTAGAATTTTACTTTTATTCTCAGCTTACCAATCAACTTTCAGATTCGGAGACAATTTTTTTCCTCTATGGTATTCCACTTGGTAGCTCTTATCCTATTGGCAGAAGATCTGGTCAGAAAATGTCGGTGCCTTCTCGTTTTGTTTTCGTACAAACACGTTTTGGTTAAAATTTTCTTAGTTTCATACTGGCACTAGCATTTTATCTGTTTTCAATAGTAACGCTTTAACCATTTTGCTTTCTTTGATTGATATGTCAGAAAAGAATGATCTTTGTGCCATCTCTTGAAATAGTACATTATGTCGTATATTCAGATCTTCATTCGGAGTTTCCGTTATGCTATTTCTTTGTTTTCTTTGTTTTGAAACTGTTATTCCAGTCGGAGTCTCGAATAAAAGGAGGTCTGGTATTTTATTTTTTAACTATTTATAGTTAATTTAACTTAATGAAAATTTTATATATTTCTTTACATTCTATGTAATTTAAATTATAAATCATTTTATTATTCAAATTATTAATTATTTTATTGTTTTATAGCTATTTTATTTATTTATTTTTGTTTGTCTTTTCAGATGGCCTTCCATACGCTCTGGCACTTCTTTTTTTAGAAATTAAGCGATATTTAAAGTAGCATAACAACAGATATTCCGATATTTAAATGAGGACAGGGGATACTTCAAGTAAAGGAAACAGCAACAGCAATAACATATTTGATGAAGGATTCTTGTTTGTTTTACCTATTAAAGCGAAATTCGAAACAAAATGAAAGCCTGCAGCGTACTGCATTTAAGAAATTAAAGTATGTAAATTTATTTTTTAAAACTTATATTTTGGGAATAATTTTTCTAACAATTTTTATATGTTTAGTTAGAATAACTACAAAAGTAAAATAATAAAATAAAGGAATGTTACAGAAAAAGACAAAGTTAAGAACTTACCGTATAATCATCTTGTAAAATATGAATAAATTTTCTCCAATCTTTTGAATCATAGTTTACTAAATAATAACTAGTAAAATTAACATTAAATTTTATCCACTCTGATTTTGGTAAAGACAGGTTCACTGAAACAAAAAATATAGATATTTTATCATGAAATTTTCTTTATTAAAAGATGAACAAATGCATGCATTGGCATATATGAAGAATTTGTTCTTAAAAAATTGTCATTAAATTCTTTATCAATTTTCAGAATTCATATTAAAATTTACTAAAATCATGCATCTTACTTTGTAGTCATTATCGGAAACTGAAAGTTTTGGATACGGAGGAATAAATCGGGAATCCGTAATTTAAATTAAAGGAACTAAAACTCTGAAAATTCGACTATATGCGAATTATTTTAGAACTTCTTATGAGTAGCTAGATTTAATTAACGAAACTATAATATTAATAAAAACTGTAACTATGGAAAAGAAATTCTACGTATTTAAAAAAATTAACACTAATTAACGTCAAATCAGTTATGCATAATGATCGTACTAAGACGTTCTTACAGGAAAAATAAGGATCTTTTCTCTGTGTATTCTGACATGTTGATTTCATGGCTGCATTCACAATTTTGTTATCAGCTACAGTATCAAATAACACTCAACAGTATGTAAATGCTTCAAGAACGTATGATTATATTGAAGTTCAAATTAAGTCGAACACAGAATCGTCAAGTACTAAAGAAAATTAAAATTAAATAGAAAGTTTCGTTAAGGGTATGCACAGTAATTCATTTTTAAATATGATGTTCATTACAGAATGTCAAAATTTGTATATGTGTTTATTTGCTATGTAAGACTTTTACACTCTAAGCAAACAAAAATTAATAAAAAATTCTTTACACATTTCGAAGCAATATTAATTATTCCATTGCCAACAGTAGAGAATGTGTTATATTATAATCAGGTACATTACCATTAGAGAACCATTATTTTTAGCTGAGATAACATTTCAACCATTCCGCTGTCATTTTCGTAATCAGATGATAACACTTTCATTAGAAATTCCAATAATCTAAAATTTGTGTCTGGAAAACAAAATTAAAGTCTTTGACGTCATATCTTTTCAAGCACTAATCTAGGAATTTCAAAATTAGATTTTTTAGGTTAAAATAGTAAATCATACTTTGCATGCGAAAACAATATTTTCGATTTATTTATTATTTTTCATCTTCTACAAATTAGCTCCATATCAGTTTGAGGGTTAACTTTAAGTTTCCCAGGATCATTATAATATTTAATAAAAAAAAAAAAAAAAAAAAAAAAAAAAAAAAAAAAAAAAAAACTTTTTCATTCGAAATTTGCAATACCGAGTTTTAAAAGATGTCATTATATCTGATATATTGGCTGCTGTTCCTCCAGTACGAATTTCCGGTTTCCAATACGTTCTCCAGTAAAAGCATCAGTTCCAGGTTTTTTGCCCAGCTAACCTTTGATAAGAGGACAGATCAAAATTTTGTCTATTCTTTCTCTCCAAAAAGAGATATAACTTCTAAGAAATAAGTGAAAAAGAAAGTTGGAGGGAAACATCATATGATTTACATGACTCGAAAACTGCGTTTATTATAAATGTCCGTTCCATTTTTCAAATTGTTGCCATCAAATATTATCGCCCTCTATTATATTTAAAGAAGTTAAATAATGAAGAATCTGCATGAATGTATGCATGTTTCTCGCACTGTTAAAAAAACTGTAGCTACAGCGATCAAATTTGAATAAGGTAGTCCTCCACCTGAATATGAGAACCTAGAAGCCCGAATTTGAAATTTGGAATTTTTTTTATTGTCTATTTACTATTTACTGTAAAACTTTAACGAATTTTTTATTAACAAGGGCAACAATATCAAAGTGAGCAATGGCAACACTGTATAAGAAAAAACACTTTTATCTCCAGCGCGAAGACACTGTCTATCAGAAATTCCAAAGATATGCTGATTTTAAATATTTTGTGATACTGCTGCTAAATTGAATTTTATGTGGTTTAAGTGTGAAGAACATGATATTTAATAACTAAAAATAAAACACAAAACATTAAAAAACGCCTTTGGGCGTAATATAAAATCTGAAAGCTTTCGGATTTTTTTTTCATTCTTATCTGCAAGCTATTTTCATACTTTATTTCGGCTTAAGAGTTGATTTTTGGTTTCTAATTAGCTGTGACTATTTATGAGGCACGCCTTAATTCTTAACCAGACTTTAAGCTACGTATTAATTCTTAATACAGGAATGAAATTTCAATTTATGGCATTAAATTATGCTGTCCGTGTGAAAAATATCTATAAAAGTTACAATTTAAACAAATTTAAATTTAATTTTTAACAAATACGTATAAAAGTAAAAAAGCAAATTTAAATCCTAAAAAAAGGAAAAAAGCCAAAATAATTTAGAAAAAAATGTGCAAAGATATAAAGGTTTAATACTCGAACTAATCTACAATATCATTTAAATTCAGAAGCATAAGCAAATCAAGTGCAAAATCAATCCATGAAAATAAATTTACTAATTGAATAAATTAAAATTAAATTAAACATTTAAAAAAAATGCATATGTGAATGACCGTTGAGTAGGCAGGAGACAGACTTATCAAGGGAAGTTGCCTCCAAAAACCTAACTCTCCAATTCATTCAATTCGTGTTCGTCTTCATGCGGCAAGGGTAAAAGTCAAACCAAAAGTAATTCCAGTATAGTGGTTCCCTTAGAAATTAACATTTAAAATAAAGTTCAAAAAGGAATACTAATGAAGTCTTTTGAAAACAACCAAGTAAGTCAAGAATAAACTTTTTTTTCGAAAAATTAATTTTTATAAATAATAATAAAAAAATATCTAGAACCAATGTATTTTAGAAACCCTGTCTACAGAAACCTCCTACAGAAAAAGTTAGAGGAATTCCTATGGGAGCAAACAGTTCTACACAAATTTGTAACCATTTCTTTTTACTTTTGAATATAAATTCCAACTAAGTTTAAATAAAAATAATAAAGCTTTGCTCATATTTTAGATACATAATGATATTATAACTTTCAATATAATTCTACTTTTGAGCAATTCAAAATTACCCAAATAGTTTAAACCTTAATAAAACGAATACGAATCAAGATACTATTGAATTCCTAGACCTGCAAATTATTAAACGCAGCAAAATTAAATTATTTGATAAAAGAGGAATTTCCATTTTCCTACTAAAACTAATTATGGAACTCTAATATCTCTAAGGAAAGTAATAGAAAAACACGTTTCATAGCCAAATTATCAGATAAAAAATATATGTACTGAAATAGACGATTTAAAGGGAGAAAAATATAAAGCTAATTAATGTACAAGTGATAACCAAGTACCACCAAAATTTATTGATTTGTATATTAAAAAGGCAGGCTTGACTTTACTTTATAATTTTTGGCTCTTTTTGATATGATAACATTACCTTAAACCTTAGCTGGAGGGTAATGAAGGATATAAAAGAGTAGAGAAATTGTAAATTTTTATGTAAATATTTTGTAAATATGTATATTAATCAAACTGGATTCTTTCCTTTTACTAATAAAGGGCCAACTCTTTTCAAAGTCTCAATTATAGCCCGAATTGAGTGAAGATTTTAATCTCCTTCTTCTAATTTTCCGTACTTTAGCCGTATTTAGTTAAGTTTTGATATACCAATTGAAATCAAGTTCATTAAACTTTAATATTTTCTTTCATTAAATTTAAGTTTTAATTAACTTCCTAAAGTAATTTGAGAAATTTCTGGAATTTTTAGAGGTTTTTAAGGACTTCTTTTCAAAAAATTTTGGGAAATTTACTTTAAAACTTTAATATTAAACATTTCAGTTTTTTAATTACTTAATTTTTGCAATTTTCACACAAAAAAATTTTATTAAATTTTTTTTTTTTTTTTTTTTTTTTTACAATTTTTACACACTTTTTCAACAGACACACATTTCACATTACAAACAACAGTTTACATTTTATTCACAATTCCACTTCACTTTATTTTCCTTCAAGCAAAATTAATCTCTTGATTGGCTCAGTTTTTAATTCCCTAAAAATTGATAATTACTACTTAGGATTTTTAATTTTTAATTTAATTTAATATTAATGTTTACAAAAAAATTTTTTACTATAAGAAAGATAGCACTTGGCACTCAACTTTACCTACATAAGCGTCATCTATATAATTTGAAAAAAAACACTTACTTCTCTTTTACAACACTTTTGCCAGACCCAACACTCATATAGTAGGTAAGTTAGAATTAAAACTTACTATTTACTTGCTTTAAGTATTTTTTAAATTTTTTATGTAGTATCTAAGTATTTTCTAAATATGAAATTATATTCTTAAATATAATTTGTTTTTTAAAAATTGTGATTAGTTCTTTGTTTCTTTTATTGGTTTATATGGATTATGTAGTTCTTTTTAGTTTCTTTTTATTGATATGCATATTCGTGTAGGGGAGGTTTCTGTAGACAACGGTTTCTAAAATACATTGGGTTCTAGATTATTTTTTTATTATTTTTTATAAAAAATTAATTTTTAAAAATATAATTTTTTAAAAGAAAGTTTAATTCTTGACTTTACTTGCTTGTTTCTCAAAAGACTTCATTAGTATTTTCCTTTTTGAACTTTAATTCTTAAATGTTAATTTCTAAGGGAACCACTATATTGGAATTACTTTTGGTTTTGACTTTTACCCTTGCCTGCATGAATGATGACGAAACCACGAATTGAATGATTGGAGAGTTAGTTTGGAGGCAACTTCCCCTTGATAAGTCTGTCCTCCTGCCTACTCAACGGTCATTCACATATGCATTTTTTTAAATGTTTAATTTAATTTTAATTTATTAAATTAGTAAATTATTTTCATGGATTGATTTTGCAACTTGATTTGCTTTTGCTTCTGAATTTAAATGATATTGTAGATTAGTTCGAGTATTAAATCTTTTATATGTTTGCACATTTTTTTTAAAAAATTATTTTGGCTTTTTTCCTTTTTTTAGGATTTAAATTTGCTTTTTACTTTTATACGTATTTGTTAAAAATTAAATTAAAATTTGTTTTAAATTTAAATTCATTCCTTGCAGCAATGGCGCAAAGAATATTTAATTAAATTTGTATTTAAATTTAATTTTTTGAATTAAATTCAATTTATTCTTATAAAAGTTACAAAATATATTTAATAGATCCTGTATTAAAAACTGAAATGGAATAGAAAATAATGATTTAAAAATAATTTTTACATTCCTTGGACTTAAAATATGCTATGTAAATTAACTTAGTTTCTTTCGTGAATGGGGGACAGAAAGACAGAAAAAATCAGTGCACTTAAAACATAAAACAAAAAAATACATCATTATTGCCAATAAAATTAATCACAGCAGCATTTGTGGTTTCCAGCAATTATTTCCACCCATTGCAGATGACTTAACTAAAGTTTTGTTTACTAATACAGTGTTTACAGTAGATACTGATGAGGTAGGATTTATAACTTGATGGACAAACTTCCTACCATACGTGGTGGTAGAATCAGAAGACATATTTTTAGGATTATAAATTAGGAAATTATTTTTACTCTAGAAACCTATTCAGAGATTAAATCCAACTGAAAACTACATCTTAATCTTCAATAATATTTGAAAAATTTTCTTCAGAAGTGTATGTAGAATCTTACAAAAATAATGGATAATATTTGTAAGACATAATAAACAGAGAAATGAAAGTCTATATGCTTCAATATTTTACACTATTACTTAGATATTTCCTTTTAAGCTAACAGAGACAAACATAATGAACCCAGGAAATTTCTGACGATCAGAAAAGATCTAAACGTCTGAAATTCTAATCAGAATATGAACTTCTACTTTTATATACTCTGACTCGGTTTCCGTGATTTATGGCGAACAAGCGGAAGAAGATTTTAAGTTTCAAAAGGCTGCAAATGACTTATAAAAGGATGAAATGCAGCAACTCAAACCATCTATTACAATACTGAAATAATGTGTTCCTGAATTTATTCTTTGATAAAACCAACTTGTTTTCCAAATGGTCTCAGATCAAATTTTTTTTTAAGTTTTTGAAATATGCATTCAAAGTAAACAAATAAAGCTCTTGATGAAAAGGAACCTAGGACTTCTTTCCAAAATTTCCAAGACGCGAGCTCTGATCACCGTCTTGGGCAATTAGCTTCGGACGAGATTTTTACTTGAGGTTATGTTTTGTACCCAAACCATTACTCGCTTGCGTATTTAATGATGAGTAAAGGTGAGCTCAATGAATATTTCAAATTTCCCTCTTCTGTTTTATTTATTTATTTTTGTTGGGGGATGCGTAATGGATTGCTTCAAACTAAATGCCTAATAATCGCCATTTTAAAGCGCTTGAAAGAGAAGATAAAAATGAAGAACAACAATATTTATTCAATCATTTTAATCTTCAGCAAGATTTTGCAAAGCGTGGTAAGGTTATTTGCAGTACATTTGTAAAAATCAGTACCTCTGGAAGTGATGAAGTCCTCCATTGGCAGATAACTTGACGCGTCATTGTCAAAGCAGTTTTTGGAGAATAAATAGTTTAAGTAGAGAAAAAATAGTAATCTATTGGAGAAATGTCAAGATACTATGGAGGAAGAGGCACAATTTCGTATCCTAATTTGTTAATTTGCTACATGATTGACACTGTAGCATGTGGTTGGGCCTAATCTAGAAGCAATGGGAATCCATGTCTATTCACAAGTGCTTGTTATTTAAGGTATATTTGTCATCATGTGGATCATATGTGCGCAATACCAAGATGTGTTTATCACCCCCTTTCGTAAAGAATAGTGAATAACATTAACTTACAGTAAAGAACATTTCTTCGGATTACAAACATGACTTTGGAGTACTTCTTTGATCATTTTTCGCTCTTAATCACGTACACAATTATCATAGAATATCCACTTCTCATATCAAGCAATATTTTGATGCAGGAACCTCTCTTCTTTGATTCTTCTTCTTAAGACAGAAAAATCACACGCAATGCTTTATTTTCATCAATGAGTTTGTGAGGCATCCAATTGTTGAGGTTCGTTATTTTTTCAGTTGTTACTGCCTTGAAACAACGAGAAAAGTATGTATTTAGAGTCTGGGCGATCTCTTGTAGAGTTTGTGTCAATTCAGGTTTAATAATTCCTTTAATTCATTCGATTCAATGAAGGAAAGACGATAGCCGCGGGGTCTGCTTGTAATCTCAAACTTCCTGAGCGAAATTTTGCAAACCAATGACGATAGGATCTCTGATTAATTGTTACTCCTCTGAATGCTTTACTGATGATTTCTACTGATGCTGTCTCAAAGTTCCCAGTTGACACTAGTAAATTATAGCAATTTTGTTCAATGCATTCCATTCTATTACGGATATTAAATTTTAACTTGTTAAATGAAACAAAATACTACTGTTGTATTATTTATATGTTATGTTGTCACATGACATAAAAAATTTACGTAAACGTCAGCGCTTGAATTCTTCCAAAATAAAGAGATATCAGACATCATTCAACAGCCATTTTATTTGTAACAACCTAATATAAAGGAGTGGAATGTTTTTCCTACTCCGATGTGGAATTTCCTACTCCATTAGTTGAGTGCCACGGTAAAATACGCGATTTAACTTGAGGCCTAACGTCATCTCGTTCATGGAAAGGCATGCTACCATTTCTTTGTCCAAGTTCACAATAAAATTCCTATAAAGTCAGCCTGAAGTAAATATTGATACACTAACGATTTAAATCTCAAACTTCACTCTTAAACCGAACAGCGAATGTGATTTATTCTGGCTCAACCTTCAGAATCAATGTTAGAAATGTGGAATCAATAACGTTATTATTTAGTTCATTTAATTACCATGAGACGTAGTTTTCGTAATCGCAGTTTCAGACATAGTCCGCAATAATTCCTAATATCATAAAACAACTGATACTTAAAATTTTATAGTGTGCAAGACTAAATGTAAAATTTCAGAACCACACAACAAATTGCAATTTATATCTGATATTAAACTTGTAGAGTTGCGCGCCTCCAAACTGCACGCAACCAAGAGGTGACTGTTGAAACTGGAAAATAGAGTCTTGCTAAGGGTTTAAGTCCCTTTTTATTCAACTTAAGAAATTACAATTGCGTGCTCTTGACGCTCACAAACTACGCCAACCCGGCGGTAAAATAAAAATAAGAACCTGAAAAGAAATAATAACAAGACTCTAACTACAAGGCTCTCTAAACGTAACTAACCTCACCGCGTTTTACAATACCGCTGCTAATTCAGCAAACTTTGAATATCACGTTGAACGATTAACAATTCTCCGAGGCAAGCACACAGGCCGAAACGCGGGGTTCTTCAATTTCTGGCTAACTACCTCCGCGCTCGTGAAGTAAGAACAGCACACCTCGAACTCGTTTCCATTCTATTTAACTCAGGATACTTCCGCTGATAATTTGAATCCTTGCGCGTTCTACTAAAATTTACATACTCTGGCATTGGCAGTTCCAGGGGAAAGTAAGGCTTGACAGGAAAGATAGTTTAACTTAGAATAAATGTTAGTTAAAATAAATATAAACCCTACAAACTAGTGATTAAAATTTAACTAATTAAAACATAGTTAAAGATAAATGGCGACTATATTCATACAGAAGCTAAAATTACCTTTTTCAGATGTATTTAGAAGAATGTACGATACATCTTCACTTTCTGCTGTTCTGTATGTAAGAGGAATTTGCCAAATGTAGCTGCCAAAAGACATACAAATGTTAGTTCTCACATAAAATTTTAAGGAATTCTTAAGTGTTTATAAATATTTTCTCACTTATTGCACGATACACAGTGCGGTAATTGAAGAAACTAAATTGAGCAAACAGATAATTGGTATTACTCTCACTACTAAAGATATGAAATTTCCTGTATTAAAAATAGAGCTCTTTAATCATGTTGGACTGATCATTAAATATCATTTATAATTAATTAATTAATTTTCAGAGCAAAAAGTATTTTAAATTGTATCAACGTTGCGTATTTTTGTACATAGTATAACAAGTGTTTCTTTGTTTTATTTTCCCGATCAATTTTCATTCAAAAGTTTACAATACATATTTTTGTTGTATTTGTAAAAAGTTTACAATACAATACATATTTTTTATTAATTTATTTTCTAACGGGATGCAAGTAATGCATAAGTATAATGTGTACAACATCAATTTTCTTTTATGTATGCATGTAAGTTGTTGTTTGTTTTGGGTTTATCTATTTATTAGATTATGGAAAAGCATACGAGGGCTATCTGCCTAAGGAGGAAAGGATGCCTTCGTGGAGGACTTCCTAACAGAAACTGGCCTGTATACACGTTGCACATGAGGAAGCAATTATTTTTTACAGAATGCGTTCGGCTTTCAATAATTTCACATCGGTTAATAAATTTTTCTTTTAAAATGCAAATATTCTTCAGTTAGTCCACTTTCCAGATAAACTGAAGATTTATTATAAAACTTGTTTCTCAAAACTGGATGCTACGTACATTCTACATTAGCCGATCAATTTTCATTCAAAAAATTTTCAGCATAATTATACTGCTTTTTCCATACTTTTATAACACTGTCCCTTAGTTTGGGTAATCCTTTGGTATTCTCATTTCTGATTACAAATACATCTACTGTATAATATAATGATTTTGGAGCAACCCTAAATAAAACTGCATATTTTGTTAGAAGTTTTTAAAATAAATGTGATGCTTTCATTTAAAAAATAACTAAGCAACCGTTAGGATTAAAAATTTAATGGAAATGTTATTAATGATATGCTCAGTTAGCAGTATAAAAATATTACTAATATTTTTGTTTAATTTTGGCTATATTTAGGTTAAATAGAGATTATTACATTACAAATTGAAACAGAAAAACATTTCAACATATTCGGTTCTTCATCTCCCTAGCATCAATAACGCCCTTGGCACAATCGATCAGCCCACTTAGTTCAATGGATATAAAGGGCCTGCTCATTATGAAACAATTAAACTGTGCAAAGTGGTGCGCCTAGCATGTTTCTAAATAAAGGGGAGTGAATTTTAATGCACAGGACGTTTTTATCAAAATAAATACCCTTATTTTAAGTAAATAAACTCATTAACTTTATTTTAAATACATTCCAGGATATAAATCATGTCTATTTGGCAGCATAAAGAACTTAATGCATATATTGTTTAAAAAAAATCTTTTTATTCCCCCCTCTCAAAAAAGTGAAAATTATCTGAAGACATTGTAGAGTCATTAGGTTATTTTGACGGTGGACACGTGAAAAATGAGCAATGCCCTCGCCGGGACTCGAACCTGGACCTCTCGAATACGCACCGATTGTGCTACCATTACACCACGAAGGCATGCAGAAAGGAGGGAGAAAATACCTTATACACTCTCCCTTTTAAATGGCAACTGGGGATTAGGGGAACCAATCGCCAAATTCTGGTGGTGAAGAATCATCATCCACCACCTTTTAGTTCGGGAGCCACTGTAGAGAGATTAGGTTATTTCGAAGTAGGGGACATGAAGTATGAACAATGCCCTCGCCGGGACTCGAACCTGGATTCTCGAATACGCGCGGAGTGTGCCACCTTTACATCCCGAAGGCACGCAGAAAGGGGAGGGAAAATACCATATAACTTTGAAAAACAATAGTTAAAAAAGAGAAAGAAAGGCTTAATGGATCAGCCCATTAGGCCAGACAAATATTCTAAAGTAATGAATTAGAACAGTTACTAAATGAAATTACGACTTTATGATACGCTAATAAAAGCTTAGTTTTAAGGTATACACATGAAACTCCTAGTAAAAAAAATAAGGGAACTCACTTATAAGGTGAAAGCTTCGTCGCAAAAATTTTACTTTCTGGGTCTTCTAAATATCTATGCTGCTGAACGACATACCCGCCATCATCACTTCTTTCTACATTTATGTAGGGATAATTCATCTGCTTTGTCCACGTGTCCATTATCAAAGAGACATTTAAACTCTATTGAATAAAATATAAATATAATTAATGTATAATATAAAAAAGTACTAATTTGTTTAAGCAAATCTCGTTTGTTTAAATATCGCATCAGGACTGACACTTTCACATTTTAAGACATTACTAAATTAAACATTTTTGGGAAACTATTCGTAAGTCACAGTAGTGTAAAGCAAAGAAGCAGTTAACTTATTTTAGAATATTATTTATTAACTGAGATCTCTTAAGAATTTTTTGTGTAAAATTCTTAAGAGATCTCAGGTCTCCAAAAATTTTGTCACGTGATGACAAACGATGCATGCAGTCTAAAGCAACATTAAACAAAAAAAATTATATATATGAGAAATATGTGTCCAAATATATAGAAAGAACGTATTTAATATTATTTTGCCTTCTAAACTTGGAGGACATACTGGAAGAAAGGGAATGGCAGTAAATATAGTGCACTTATCTTTTACAACCTAATTTCTGTTACGGTTCAGCTTCTGAGCGGCCAGGGTTTTCTCTAAAAAAGCACAAATTTCCCCAAACTACTATCAAAACAAATTATTTTTTTTATTTTTAATGTATAAACTCTCCTGCTATTACGTACCTGGATTTGTGTACTTTTGATATATTGCTTTAATTTCTTTGACGTATTTCATATGCGCGTATATATACGTTCTTACAGATATCACAAAAATATTCTTGCCACTTAGTGGGAAGCTGAGTTGTTGAATATTCAGTTGTAGGAGTTCATAGCTGATGAGAATGAAAAACAGACGTTAACTAATCAGTCATTTGTTGAATGATGAGAGATCTAGGATACTCCAGAAAAAGCCCCATAGATAAAAACCCTACTCGCATTGTAGTGAATTCCCTGCTGCACAAATGAAGACGTGTAACGTTAATATAAAATGCGAACTTGTCTTTGGCGTGAACTAATTACTTGCTTACCGTTAAGCTGACGTAAGTCGTCTATATTTCTTCACTACTCTATTGATACAATCACAGTCGCTTTGAATGAGGGCACGATTAACAAAATCTGGGACTTTAGGCCCTTTAGGGCCCCTATCCTTTCAGAGGCTTTTAGCGCTCACTCTTCTTGATTTCATGAAATAAGAACCAGATTACGAGGAGAGTTGGAAAGTGATTTTGAGGCCTCGGGAAACCAGAGATCTTACACCCAGGCTTCGGCAGCTTAAGATATAATGAGGCTGTGTCCTGAATATAAAACATGAATTACTCTTAATACAAAGCTAATTCAACATATTCAGAATTATGTTACTAGGCGTGAGATCGCAAAGCCGGTGTAATATCAAATGACACTGGCTTTACGATCTTTGTGTACTTTACAAACTTCGTGTAGAATATTAAATTTTTAAAATTCTACAGAAAGTCTGAGTGAAACTTTGAATAGAAATTTATTCTCATGCTGTATAGTGTTGTTTCATAGCTGGGATAGGTCAGAACTATCTTGCTTGCTTATTAAAATACCAAAGTATCTTTTAATAAATTAACATTTGCTTCTCAAGATATCAGTCGTATGAGTTTTCTTTGGGGGGGGGCTAAGTTTCATGATCCCATGTTTACGGCTTGCGAGAAAGCAAAATCTAAGCTTGCGCAGAAATTTTACGTAGTTTATATTTTTCTAAACGTAGTCTTTCTCGAATAAGAATGTCCTATTATGAACAATGAACCTTGATATTTTCGAATAAAATTTGTCCAATCAACATTTACAACTTGACACTTTTATTAAAATACTTTAAAATTTTTATTTATTTATTTAATTAATTACTTGAAAATTTCTCTTTTGTGACTAGTATCTGGTGCTAGGGAAGATTTTGCGAATACATGAATTCTTTGAAAGGAAAGAATGTACTGCTAGCAAACTGAATTACTTTTTCATCAAAGAAATACTTGCTGATCACAGCATTAGCTGGAGGTTATCCGAATCCATGGGTGATTTTGCTAAGAATGACAAACTGGAAACGTGTTAAACGTTGAAGTAATTAAACACTTGTAAGATGCTCCTTTGTGGTTAAAGGAAGCTTCATTTTATTCTTACAAAGAAAATATAAACTTGTGATAACCTGTGGAATTTCTCAAGATTGATTCAAATCTAAGAGAACTTAAGTTATATAAATCATTGTAAAACAGCAGAGAAGAGCACTTCTGAAAACAAATGTGTTAAAGTAAATTATTAAACAAATGTGTTAAAGTAAAACTTTAACAAAAGTAAGTTTCAGCGTTTTAATACAATATTTTTGCATTCAATCGTTAAATCATTCTTGAAATCTTTATTTAAATCATTCTTGAAATCTTTATTTATTTATTTATTTATTTATTTTTTTTTGAGTGAAAAAATATTTTCGAGCTTACTTGTTTCGAAGCTGCTGTTAATTCAGTCCACAAATCGTCGGTTTTTGCAGAGCCATATGCGTACATTTTCAAATAATTCTGAAATATTAAAATTAGGCAAATGATTAGTTGCACGTAAGTGAGAGCTAAAAAAATATCATTAACAATTATTTTTAGATAGTTATAAAAATTAATACTCCATAAAAATGTATGTATACTAAATAAAGCAAAAAATAAAAACGACACTTAAATAGTTATAATTACTAATAAAATTATAACCTTTCGCTATATATATATATATTATTATATTGTCGGAACATAATGAATGGGCTTACATCATGCCATTGACAGAAGTTTCCTGATTGCCCACTACTGGCATAGAAAGAAGATCTTACAGCTTTATACGTGGTTTTTAAAAGACACATTTGTGGGTCAGGTTTTTAATGGATGATAACCCACGTCTATGTAGATTTAGATAATGGATAAATATCCTCAAAGTCTGAATGGTCTGCCAATCGAACATATCTGGGGTGCCCCTTGAATGGCAGTTGCAATTTCCATTGCCTTCGAGAACCATGCAGAATTTAAGCAGAGTATGTGCATCACCCACAAAAACTAAATGAGCTATCTCGTTAATACTGTGAAGGTTCACTGTACTAGCTGCATGTCTGTTAGAGGTAATCATACTTCAATTAGATTTAATTTACACGCAATCTTTTAAACTTAGCTTTGCATATTCTTACTTCCATGAACATTAATAATGTCCATGAGTGGGTATTTTCATTGTTGTAAGGTATAAATTGCTATTATACATTATGTTGTATTCGTAACAAATTTCATCAAATTATGCACAGTACTTTATTTATTGAGAAGTTCGTAAAAGTTCTCTATCCTCTTAATTTTTAACACAGTTGTATATGCCGTTTTAAGCAATTATTGATAGGGTCTTCTCTGATATAGTAATAGATATTTTAGTGTATATAGTTCCACAAAACCAGTAATAGATATTTTAGTGTATATAGTTCCACAAAAATTGTTTAAAAAAATAGTACTTTTTTTTGTACCAGTAATAGATATTTTAGTGTATATAGTTCCACAAAAATCGTTTAAAAAAATACTACTTTTACATTAAGAAAATTTATACCTTTTTTTGTTAATTTCTAATATCAATGCAAGAGATGGTATATTACATTAGTCTAATCTAGTAAAGCATATAACATATTTTCTGAAGGAACAGCTACTCGCTTTCATAATATTGTAGCGACTACTAGGCCTTTTGAAGCGGAGAACATGAAAACTTTAATGTATGCTCGACGGGAATTGAGCCATGGATCGTTTACTAACTTGTTGAATATTCTGTCGTACATGAAGGCGGACATGGAAGGAATGTCACTCTTAAAGAATGACTCGCAAGAGCATGAGACACTGGTAGTTCACTGAACACTGGTAGTTCGGCCCGAGGTTCGAATCCCGCAAACGGCCTGGATGCATGAGTGTTTTCGTAATTTTCTCCATATGTAACATGTATACGAGCCAGTTTCCCTTAGAAAGTCCTCCCCGAAGGTATCCCTTCCCTTAGGCATATAGCATTCGAGGCTTTGCTGTAATTAAATAAACCAACCAATCAACCAGCTTGTCAAATTTACGTGATGAGTTATTATCCATCACAGTTTGGGCGTCACTGTAGAGCATCGATTCTTAGCCTTTTTCCTTATACGCCGCTTTTATTACTGCCAGAAAATCATCCACCCTCTCCTTCTCGAAAGTTGAAAAATAATATATACATTTTTCTAGATTTAGATGACTTTTCAAACCAATTTTATAAAAATATATAAAAAAAAAAAAAAAAAAGGGGGGGGTATAGAAAATGCTGTTAAATACCAAAATTCGAATAAAAGTAGTTTTTTGTTTCCGTGAACTAAAACTATACTTAGCAGCTAAACAAAAGGCTAATCGCATTCCTCATTGAAACTATGATATCCCATCCCTTCGAAGGAGTAAGTTCTCCACTTGTTGAGACCCCTGCTGTAGAGATTACTAACCTTTTTGAAGTACGGAACTTCAAACATCAACTGCGGCCTCAATGGGATACACGCCACGCATCTCTTGCTGAATATGCTAACGCAACAAGGACAAATATTGGAGGAATGCTGTGATTATTTATGATATATATTAAATTATTATCATTTTGAAAAGCTTACACTGTAATAGAGTATTAAGAACATCTATTAGCACTAACTAGACAAAATATTCAAAAACTGAAAAATGAGATCATTTTATCTCAAAAGCATAATTTTTGAAACAAGAATATACAATTTTATAGTGATATATATGATTATAAATATTATTAAAATTAAACTACTCACAGATACACCTTGCCTGAAATCTTCTCCCATATAGTTCTCCAACATTCTGAGAATTGATGATCCCTATAAAAATACAGGAGTAATATATTACTTCAGTTTCTTAATACAATATTCCTGTTTTGCATGCAATTGTTTTTGTACGTGTGATACAGATGCTCACGATTATAATATGATTTTATCTTTTCTAAAGATAACACCGTAGGTTCTGTGTGTAAATGAAATTCTTTAGCTTAAAATCAAGTCCATTAGCGATTTATACTCATAGTTAATATTATTAACAATAATGTTACTTCCTTTGCTTTGATTAGTAAATCTTGCATAATAACTAAGGGGTCTTTAGTAATGTTAATACTATAATTATCTTGTAATATTTCCTTAAAGGTTTGAAAGAAAATAATTCAGGTAAATAATAATAATAATAAAGGAAAATAATTTGGATAAGTAAAAGGCAGCTGAAAGATTAAAAAAATTCAAATTATTAAGTGATGATTATAATCAAGAAAAAATAGTGTACATAATATTAAATGAAAGTTAAAATTATGCTTATCTAAAACGAAGCATGTATTTTTATATTTTATACATCGAATATCTAAATATATCTTTAATTATAAATATATAATCACATTTTAAGCAAAGGAGGAACAAAATAATGAATAATAACATGATACCAAAATTAAATCATTAGGAAAACTTTGTTTTTACTTCTTTGTACGAAATAAAGAAAGCACTATAATCACCAAAAATTTCGCGTACCGTAACGATGTTTTTGCAGAACATCTCTACGTATGAACAGAAAAAAGGGCTCTTTTTTGCGAAACGGATTGTAAAATTCATTTAAAATGATTCAAAAGGGATTTTTCTCATGATGTCTGTACGTACGTATATATATATATATATATCACGTAACTCAAAAGTGATTAGCCGTTGAAATTTTGCATATGGGACTGCTATAACATGTAATGGTGCACCTCCCTTTTGGGTAGCAATCGGTCGCATTCTGTTACCCGGTTCAGTCAGATGAGATTTTTTATTCTTATATATTGGCAAACAAGGCCGCTATTTGTTTACATTTGAAATTGTTAATAGAATAGTGAATTAAGTGAATTTGTGCACCAACTTCGGTGTCTTTTTACCGAGTGGGACCAAAAGTAAATTTTTAATTTTGTGCACTTTCATGCTCGCTAGCCGAATATTACTTCTTATTGTCAGTTTGTTTCTGTCAATTACTAATTTTAATTGGAAAATGTTTTTAGTGTTTTTAACTTTATTTGGTGTTTTATATTTTTCCGTATTTTACAATTTTTAACGAAGACGCTTTGCGTTTTTATGTTTTTATAAATGCCGCAAAGTCAGAACTGAACTAATTGATTTAGAAATGTATTTCTAATTAAATTCGAGGAAATAAGTTTAATGAAATGCAGCAAAAAACATACATGTATAATTTAAAAAGCCGTACAAAGAAGTCATGTGGTATCCACATCAGATATTTTTAAAAAGTATGCGTGATAAAAAGTGTGACTACTTATGATTGCCCTACTGTAGATTTAATAACGTTGGTCCTACTAATTTTAAATTTTCAAAGAGCTAGAAATAAATTATTATAATTAATAAGAGAGAAAAGAGCTAGAAGTGAAGGAATGCATTGTTATTCGCTGCCACTAACCAAAATAACAGTTATAAAGGAATTCTGCCCAAAGCTCATGTCACGTATCTTACCAATCGTTATAATATAGCATACGATATATAGCTTACTATGCTATGTATCTTAAATTATATTCTAACTATTGCTTTCTTAAATGGGTTCTATGCCTACTGGCATTATGATCAATTCATTAAGTCTGGGCTTCCTTTGTAACACCCGTATGGAGGTATATCTAATCGTTAACTTGTTCAACTCCTATTTTGCTGGTGTCACGTGAAAGTCAACATAGGGAGTTATTCACTACTAGCTTCTGAAAATACTCAGAAATTACTTCTGAAAATACTCAGAAACAAGTGTTCAACTTAATTTATTTTACCTCAGCACTTGTGAAAGTTAAGCTAGATTATCTGATTATGAGCTGTCTGCCTAAGAGAAGGGATGTCTTCGTGGATGACTTTCTGAGGAAACCTGATTCGTGTTTACGTTACACATGGGAAAACCACGAAAACCAGCCACGTAGACCGCGCCTTTAGCCTGGGTTCGAACCTAAAGTAGGTCGAACAACCAGTATTCAGGGGTCTTAACCACTCAACCACTGGTGTGTCTAGTGAAGGTTAAAAATAATAAAAAATAATACAACACCAAATTACCAATCGCCTGAACTTAACGGTGAACACACAATTGGCCTTTACAAGTCTCCCAGTTAGAATACTTAATTTCTAAGGGAGGTTATTGAGTCTCGAATCAACTAGCAACAGCTACTCAAAACCTCAACTTAGTAACTAAGCATGTCCTAAAATTCTAGTCTTAAGAGAAGCAACGGCTATTTGCAAAATAACAAGATGGCCTGGCTGTGTAGCAAACGTTAAACTCAAATCTGCATAATCTCTAAAATGAACAAGCCTGTGACGAAATGAGGCAATAGGAAAGATGTAAACTAAAATCAAATTGTTTAGTAAAACTCAAATAAAATGTCACAACTTCATATCAGGTTAGGATGATATCCAGGAAAAATTCTTAAGTTATATTGTTTGGTCTTGAATGACTACAACAAAGGTATTCAACTTCAAAAATTAAAATGCATCTCTTTCCTGAATGATAGATGATTAATAGCAAACTTTCATGATGCCTTCATTAAAAAAAAAGGACATAGAATCAGTTTGTATAAGAAATAGATCTGTACGGAATATTTACCAAATACGGTTTACTGAAAATACAATTTATTTGACTAAAGTGGTTTTTGGTTTGGGTTATTAAAGATATTTATGCCTGGGAGTTTCTTATATATATCAGAAGAAAATTAATTGCCTATTTTGAATTTACGTGAATTTTCAACTATATAAAATTACTTTGCATTACTTAAGTAACTTCCCTTTTAGGGAATACTAATGAAGGTAATACGTGTAAATACAGAAGGTTATTAGCCTTTTATGGAAGCGGTTTTCTGCTTACTCTCGTAAGCATTTTGAGATAAAGATTCGCGATTTTTAATATAATCGTCTGCTATTGCTTTGTTTTGATTGGAATGAAAAATAAGAGAATTATTTGAAAATGGCTAAAAACTGATAAACATCATCTTGACTGTGTGTTAAGACTGTTCGAACGTGGGAAAATATTTAAAAAAAAAAAAAAAAAAAAAAAAAAAAAAAAAAACTGAAGTTTATGATTGTGAAAGAAAATCCACCGACTCAAAGATCATTGCATCGGAATTGGGAATATCTTTTGGCACTGTAAGTAAAATCATTCATAAATATTTGAAGTTAAAAAAAAGATATTCAAATCTAAAGCTTATATACTTTTAATAAAGTATACCGAGAAAGGGGACAACAAATTGTAGAAAATTGTATGAAAAACTATTGCTGCTGATAAACGGAAATTTGTGGCAATGCTATATGAGGTATGAGTATATTTAAGTGACTGTAATAAACAAAATTTAATTTTCTTTTGCTCTGCTTACGAAAATGACCAAAAGAAATGGCTTCATCAATGTACAGAAAAGTTCCCAACGGGATTCATGCAAGATTTCAGATGCAGGGTTTAATTACAACTGTTTTAATAAACTCAGAAATATCTCACATAAGGCTAAAATTCTTTATATAATCAGAAGAATATTTTAGAACTAATTTTTGAAGAAGAAATTCTAGCCTTTTATGGAAAGGACATCAGTAATGTTCAGCGTCATATGATCAAAACTCCAGACACAGATTATGATAACTAATGTCTGGTACACTTGGAAGAGTCATAATGGACCAATGTATCGTCATAAGACTCAATCATATATATGTGTATTGTGCTATCGAGACGGCAATGACGAAAAGTCTGTTACTCCTTAGTCTTTGTTGGCTGCAGACAATACGTGGGATACTCACTTCTCTGTAACGCGCAAATGAATTCTGACAGTTTCCTCGGAAACCTGAAAGCATTCGGTAAGTTAACCACACGTTTAACAGCTGTACTTCTCTACTGTTGCCTTCAGAGCCTCGTCACTCAGCAGCTGTAGTCGATCTCCGAGGGATTCGTCACAAATGATCAGATCTTCCGACGTCACCTTCTCGAACCAATGTCTAGCAACACATTCATTCCATGGCATCCTTCCCAAGTGTCTGAGATATCCGATGACTTGATGCCGCTGTTGATAGTCATACAACAAACAACCACGAATGAGCTGCTTCAATACCTCTATTTTTCTTGGAGACTGGACAGGCTGTAATTGCTGTGCCTGAATTAGTACAGCTCAAGATTTACACTAATCCTCTATTGCTTTTCCAATGCGTGAACCATTTCGCGTCCTGTCTGTGAACACTTCATTAAATGGCAAAAACGTTTTTGGTTACCTTGGTAAATTGGTATTTTCAATTGAAATTCTGGTAATCTACAAGCCTTCAGTATCATTCTGTCGCAACATATTGTAGAAACGAATTTTAAAGTCATTCATAAAATTTATAGAATTACAGTACTCTTTCGCAAATTTAAAAAAAAAAAAAAAAAAAAAAAAAAAAAAAAACACATCCAACTAAACCCCAAGAAGCATTTATATAGAGGCTTTTTAAATGTATAGTTATAAATACCAGAAACAGCGCAATTTTCTATCAGCTTACCCATATAAATTTTTCAAGTTTAAAATTATTTATAATTCAACTGTTAGTGCTGACAAAATGAAAAAATACTAAAAATAAAAATTAAACTTTGAACAACTAATTAGTTAATATAATTTTTCAAAATATTTTACATTATATATTGAGGATAAACACATCCAAGACTACACATTGTATAATAGATAAATAAATATCTCACCTTAGAATATGCTATGCTATCAAATATATCTGAATTGATGATCGTTACTTGTTGAACTATAGCGTGAGAATTAACAGTCTTATCACTCAGCATTGCACGGCACAAAGTATCTGTGGCTTCATGCTCAAACTGTAAAGAAACATTAATACACTGTGTTTAAATGATATTACAGAGTTTATTAACATAATTATACTATAATTATTAATAACATATATTTCTCATAAAAAATCCTCTATGCATTAACTAAAGCAGAAGTGTTTTCAGCAAGTTGTTTTACACTGTCTTCTTTGGCTGAAAATGAATGCAAAATGGGCGTTATTAATAGAGTGAGGTCAAAGGAACTTTGAGCAGCTTTCATTGGTTGTAATGGCAACCTGAAGAAGAATATAAAAATAAAAGGGGAAGGGAAAAAGCATAGTGACATCTACGGATAAAAAAATTAAGAAAATGCAGAAATATGGAGCTGAAATTTTATCTGCATTAACTAGGTTTATTACTAAATTCGTTTTGCTAATGAAACTTTCGATCTTTTTGAAGGCAACAAGATGATTAATATTACATTTTGTGGCCTCTGAATTCTAGCTTTTCAGTTGAAACTCAGTACGTTGAATTTATTTCGTTTTCTTGGCAGTTTAGTAGTTAAGTTACAGGTAACAGTTTCAGTTTTGTCATTACATTGTTTTGGAAACTTTCTTTAATTTGTCTTCTTCCATATGTCAAATTCAGACATTCTACCAAACAAAAGTTGATTTCTTTTTATACTATCGTCCTTCGAGCGTTCACGATTTACTCATCTAAATCAGCTTTTGATCAAAAATCAACTTCAGAGACATTCAAAGTGATCCAAGCTTTTTCATCTAATAATACGGATCAAGCATTCAAGTAATTTTCTTTTCTTATTAAAGCAAAAATTCTCTTCTACTTCAAGCACTTCGTATAAATAAGAATTTAGAAAATATTGTTCCTTTGTTTCCCTCCACCAGTTCCCAAAACCACCAGTGGATAACATAAATAAATCTCTTATCGAAACTCAATTTCAGGCATAAATTTTTATATAGTAGTCCTTGCCACCGCGTCTTACTATTAGACCGTCAAACTAAGTGTAATTAAAAAAATTAGCATCAGTAAAAACTAATTTTATATTTGAAGAAAAAAATGAATAACTCATCTATTTCACAGCACTGTTGAACAGCAAACCAGCGTATTCCAATTTGTTTATGTCAAAATTACCCGTTACTCCTCTCCTTTCATAAACTCGATTTTCTTCTGGCTTTTCGTATCAATAAAATTCTAATTTATTTTAATCTAATTGTTCTAATTCACTTTAATCAAGTACTGGAATTCTAATTCGTATTTTCCTATGCAAACAAATCAGTTCTTGATTTTCTTTGATCTCTGATTCACTTTTATATACATAGATGGCGTTGTGTTTTTGATCTCCTCATTGTTCTGCTTTGTCATCATCACATATTACCCGAATACAGTTGGCTAAACTCTTCATTAAAGTGGGCGTTTATTGCAAGTAGCAGAAGGTTCTCAAAGATAACTTGACCTCTTAAGCTCCGTCTACACGAGGAGACATATCTCTGAACAAGTATCCCTCGCAGACATGTCCCCCGACAGCATTTGCATTTCATCTACACAAGGGTACTTGTATTAAAGTTCCTTTAAGCTACTACGCCAATCAGTGAAACTGAATGAAAAAATATAGAAAAAATATGGAAAATATTCTCTTTATAAAGAAGTCATGGAAATTAAGATCCAAAACAAATATTGCATCATAAATTAATTTTGTCAAAATAATAACAGAAACTCAAAAACGATTCGGCCCTTATTGTTTCACCAAGCTAAACGCTCAGAGTAGCCACTATTGTTTTCTGGAAACTTGATTTCCATACGAAATTTCATTGTCTGTCACCAAATACATCTTCGATGGCAATGTATTCCGTAATGAGCAATGACAAAGACTCCGCTGAGGCGCCGCAGACTTAAGTCTGATGCACTAGACATACAAAGTGTGACACACACACACACACACACACAAAAAAAAAAAAAAAAAAAAAAAAAAAAAAAAAAAGAGACGAGAATAGTCCAATAAATCATTGGCCTTACAGAATCAGTTCTCCTTGCCATTATCATCTTCAAAGTAGTCCCCTGCAGCATGCACACACTTCTGCATCCGGTGCTGCCATTGCTGGTAACAGTTCTGGAACGAAGTTTTTGGAAGGCCCTTCAAGAGATTCTCCGTTTTCGCTTGAAACTTTTCAACTGTGGTAAAATGGGTTTTCCTTAAGCAAGATTTAACTTTAGGAAATAAAAAAAAAAATCACATGGTGCAAAATCAGGTGAATAAGGAGGATGCCCCATCACAGTAATGTTTTTGCTGGTCAGAAACTGCTCGACAGATAGCGGTGTGAGCGGGACAGGCCGTGTGAGCGGGCGCATTGTCCTGGTGCAACAGCCATTTATCACTCTTCAATCGTGGTCTTTTTCCCCTAGTTTTTCACGAAGTCTTTTTAGTACTTCAATGTAGTACTGTTGATTAACAGTCTGACCATTGGAAGCGCACTCAATCACCAAGCTAAACGCTTGATCATCTTCCACACTGTCTCTTCCCCATAAAAACCGCTTATGCCATTCAAACACACGTATAGGAGACAAAGTTTCATCTCCATAAGCCTTGGTTAACATTTGAAATGTTTCCTCCGCGGCTGATTTCTGAAGTTTCACAAAAAACGTGACGTTGATCCGCTGTTCAGTTTTTGAATTAGACATTTTTCCGGAAAAATGCAGTTGCACGTGTTAACTCAATAATGCAGTACTTCCACTGGAGTGATCGGTTAAGTCGAAACTGGCCTTATGGATAGAGGAAGTGTGTGGCATTATTTCACCAAAACAGTTGTTGCTAACTCCACTCTTTTTTTTCAAGCTACACACCACTTAGTCTCGTTTTTTTTCGTCTCACACCTCGTATGTTTCCGTGTATAAAGACGGACTGACGCAGGCGCTGCAAACTTGCAGAGATATTCGTTGGGAGATATGTATTCCCTCGTATAGACGGGGTTTTACTCTGGCTATAGCTGCAGCTGCTACCAGTATTTGGTGGCAAAATGAAATGCAATAAAGTTGCTGAAAGCGCTTTCTTTCATTAATCCGTACGACAGTTTTCGTTGTTTTCTTGTATTCTAATTTTATTTGGAATATTATATTTTATTAACATATATGTGGGAAATCATAACATCCAATGCCAAATTAGAATACCAGATGACGTCATCAGTACAGCCCAACGCAATAAGAATCATCCCAGACAGCGCTGAGACCTGGTCGAGAGCGGAGTGCAGACGTGAGCAGACGGCTCATGCGTCTTCAAGAGTTTATGGAGCTGATTCTTCGTTTTAATTCTCACCTTTAGCTGTGACGACTTTCGATGATCATACTATTTAAAGCTATGCACGAATGTTTGTGTAAATGGACTACATCATTATATTAATCCTGCATACCGTTAACTTCATCTTTACTTCATTTACTTTTTTTACTTTTATTTCTTATGATTAAAATAAAGGTATGTACCATACCAAGATCCGTGCTCTCAATTCTCTGAGTTAAGCCAAATTCTACATATACTTGTATTATCACTACTCGAGCAATAAAAACAATCTTTAATTATTTAAAATTGTTACCTGCAGAGAAGAAAAAGCCATTTACAAATGAAACATAAACACATTAATACAATAATTCTACTTCAAAATATTATATAAGAGGCGGATTTATTAGTATTATTAAAAGACAGAGCTCTTACTAGGCATTAGTTTGTTATGGAGGATTATGTATCTATTTTATAATCTAACACAGTGAACCCTCTTTAAAATGAGTCCTTTTTGAAAGTGGTCGATGTTATCCAATGGCAATGTTTATTTATACTCTTAGAAACAGTGACCACTCTCAAAAGTGACAGGCAAGAAAGCGTTTACTTGATTGAGGTTGATACATTTGATAGAATATGCGCTAATAAATTTTACAAAGTACGTTACTTTTACTTCCTTGTACGAAGTAAAAAGGAAGTATTGTAATCGCGAAAAGTTTCAGGCAACATATTTCAAGGAAAATATCCATTTTGACCTCTATCGAATGCAATTTAACGATGTTTTTGGGTGATATCTGTACGTAACGATAGAATAAAAGACTCTTTTCCTCCAAAAAAATTATAAAACTGCTTTAAATTTAATTCTGAAGAGAATTTTTCGTGGCGTCTGTACGAACGTATGTACGTATCTCGCATAACTCAAAAACGTTGAAAGCCTCAGAAACCTCAGAACGTTGAAATTTTGTATAGGACTGCTATAACATGTAGATGTGCACCTCGTATTTTGGTTGCAATCGGCCGCACCTAACGTATATAAATATATTTATATATATATCCACTCTGTTACCTGGCTCAGTGATCTCAGTTTCTTTACTCTTATATGTTTGTAAATTGTATATTTTTTGCTTTAAAAATGATAGAATTATCTTGTTTTTATCTTCCGGTTAAGGCTTTTATGCCTTTCGTAATTTTGGAAGCAATATTTGTACAATTATCAACAATTTAAAAGCTGTTTAAGTGCGGTTAAGTTTTAAATAACATGGTGGACATATTTGTTTACATTTGAAACAGCAGAATTGTAGATTTGTTGCCAATCTAGAGAGACTAAGCTTCGCAACACAAAAATAACGCCTTCATTTATTATTGCGAATTAAATCATGCTTAATCCTTTCTGGAATTTTTTCGAGGAAATAAGTGTTTAAGATTTAGTTCGTAATTTTTAATGCAGATATTTTGAGTTTTTATGTATTTTTGCTTTCTCGCGAAGTGAGAACTGAATTAATTGAATGAGAAATACTAAATCGTCTGTGAAAAACTGTTTCTTTTCTGTTTTGTTTGCTTAATTTTTTTCATACATCGTTGTAGCTTTATTATAGTATTTGAATAGAACATGGGGCAATGATAATTCTTCAAATGATATAAATTTTGTGCATTCAGAGTGTCGTTATAGTAAACAAATATAGTGAATTTTAGAGAGTGCATTTATTCTACTGTGGTTTATGTGCTGTCGACGAAGTAGATTTAATTCAATCCAATCAATTTAAATGAAATTCAAGAAAAAATGCGTATAATTTAATATTCCGTACAAGGAAGTCATGTGGTGTACACATGTAGTGTACACACAACAGATTTTTATTTAATATATGCGATTGCACAGATTTAAATTCATCTATAATTAACATTTTTTGGCATAGTAAAATGAGCGCTTTCGTCGCGACCATCTTCTAGCAATCACGTTTATTAGCAGGAGAACGGTTAAATAGTTTAACACTGGAAATTCGACTCGGGTTGGAATACAGTAGAGGGATTTGCTTCATGTGTAGGGTGGATAAAAGCAAGTTTTCTTTAAAAAGTGTTTGCACAAAGGCATCCGTCCCCAAAGGCAGATAGCTCTCGAGTTATTTTGCCTCAATCAACTTATCTGAAAGTGATAAGCATATTTAGAAACATAAACAGACAGCGGTATGAACGATAAACTTTCTAAAACGATTATCTTACCAAAGACCAAAATTATTTAATTTCGTCAACGATCGTATTACAGAAGGTTCGTTACGTCTGAAGATTGGAATCGTTCGATTCCCTCAGTAAAATGTATACAGAAATTATTATCCCAAAAGGACTGTTGGTCTTGAAATGCGATTTTGAGTGGTCCAATGTGAATGCGTTGTTTCAGCTCACTTTTCATTTGAGTCTGTTGCCATTCGTAACAAATGTAAGATAGTATGCTTTCATATTTATTCTGTCTACTGTTAATTAACAAACTAAACTAACAAACAAAAACAACAGACGCGGTTCTTAAGAAGAAATTTATTTAATTTTTAATTTGATTGACTGAAATAAAAATAAAAATGCATTTAATTCATGATATATCTAATTAAAAGAAGCATTAAATATTTTAAAGAATTACTTTTTCCTTTTTAAAAATATAGAAGATATATAACGTTCCTGATGTTGGATATCAAAACAATGTACTTTGTATTTTGTATTTACTTTCCTTTAAATTATACTTATAATTTTACAATACTTATTACTTTTACATTTTGGCCACTAATAATTGTTGTTAGTTGGGTTTCATGAAAGTGGCAGCGGGGCAATTCATAGAATTAGGAAAATATATTTCTGTAGTTAGTTAGGCTTATTGAAGATTAATTATATGTTATATACCTGAGTGATGTTTTATTAAATAAATGAATACTTTAGAATATAGTAGTCTCTTTAGAGTCCGTGATACGCTGGTAGTGTAATAGTTTGACGCGTAAACGAACACCCATGTTAGTCTAAAAGCACGTTCAATATAATATCCTATAAAATGTTTCGTTATTCCATCTGGGCCATCTCTATAGATAATACCTACTGGTAAACCATATTAAGCTACAAAACAGCCCTCTTGGGCAATTTTTAAAATATGAACCCTTTCAGGCTTTTAGATTTTTTTATTTCAGAATTTGAACTTTTTTTTTTACGATTTTTTTATTTAAAGGTAAGGAAACCATAACGATGACCACCTCATTTGATTTGAAAATGCAAGAGGTGTTTTAATGGGGAACATTCGCTCTCGGGATAACATGCGATTAAATTTAGTGGAAATTATGTTCGACTAATGAAAAATCTCTTTGTTTTCATGTAAATTAAAATAAAAAAATTTGACAAAAAAAAAACTGGTCTGATGTTTGAAGTTGCTAGTATTTACTATATAAGATATTATTAGATGTGAAATGTACAGCTAACGGCACTGCACACGCAGACTTACTTCATCGAGCTCCGGATCCATGTTTTTGAGTCCTTTCTCCGACATATAAGTAGCAAAACCTTCATTTAACCAAAGATCATCCCACCATTTCATAGTCACTAGATTTCCAAACCACTGTAGAAAAACGTTTTAATCAATTATCTTTTACCTTTTAGTACATTATAGTAAATTAAATTTAAATTCTGACAGACGCTGTTTCCCAAACTTACCATATGTGCTATTTCATGTGCGATTAACTCAGACACTTGAAATCTACTTGCTATAGAAGAGATATTTTCACTAATCAAACCAGGTTCAGAGAAGGTAATTAAGCCCCAATTTTCCATAGCCCCTCCTCCATAGTCTGGAATTGCTATCATATCTGCAAAGAATACAAAAAAATTAGGCATTTTAAAAGTATATTTTTGAACCCTTCGGATCACTAAATTTTTCACTTAAAAATCTGTGTTTGAAAATTAAAAGCATTCTTTTTCTTTAATGAAACGAGTGTAAATTGGAAGTAAAACTGAAAAATTGCAAAAATTGAAAGTAAAATCCAACATATATTTTGTAAAAAAATAGCATAAAAATGTGAAAGCAAAATCCATTATATTTTAAACATCAGATCTCTCGATTTGATGCTTTAAACAAAAAACAAAATAAAAACTAGAAATATAAAGTCACATTATTAACACAATTTACTTAATTATTTAAAACTAGCCGAAGTACTCGATGCCAATTAAGTTAGATTGAGAGTAATGCATAACAACAGAGAGAACGATACCGTTGTAATCCTTCTCTAATGACAAAGCAAAAAATACGATTCAGAGTCATACATTTTTCACTCTGGTGTGATATGGAACGCACATCAAAAATTTCCATAGAAAAAAAAGCCAATTCTCTCTCATTATATCAGAAACAATGGCATTCGGTTTTTAATGATTTTCCTCTTTCTGAACAAATGGTCGTAAATGCTCTTCCATCCAGTATTTCACCTATATTTAATCGATTAAATGTGGCAAAAAATGCATCAGAAATCAATAACGCGAACAAATAAACAAACGCACAATCACAGAGGCATTCTTCTTTATATATATGTACATAGATTTTGTAAAAATCACAAATTTTTGATTAACAAACTCTACGATTTGAAAGCGAGCAGTAGCAACACTTTTCGAAATAAAGCATTTCAATCTTCAACGTGCTAGCAGCGGTTTTCAACCTTTTGGACTAACGCGTATCATCTAAACAAAAATTAAAAACCTTTAGTACCACTACTACAAAATACTACTACCATCACCATTCTTAAACAAAAGCTCAGATCGCATAAATTTACGACTGTTAGGGAAAAAATTAAATCAGGATGTTGGAGTTTTAATTTTTGAAATCAATAATTAAAAATACATTGCATCTTTGAGTACCACCGTTTGAGAACCCCTGCGCTAGACTGTTGCCACTCGGATAAATGAGTGCGAAAATTAGCGCTTTCATAATTTTTAATTAATTTTTCGGCTGATTAAAGTCGTACGAGGATGGGAATAGTCGAAATGGCTTCCCACAAATTTTTGGAATTGCGAATTATATATTTAGTGTTTGGCAATGGTATTTTTATTTCATCGTAAAACTTAGAAATTTTTTATTAACAAACTCTAGGATTTGAAAGCGAGCAGTGGCAACAACTTTCGAAATTAAGCAAATTTACATCTTCAGCTTGCGAGACTGTTGCCACTCGAAAAAACGAGGGCGGAAATTATCGTGTTTCCGAGTTTTTAATTAATATCTCTGATTTTATCTACTTTTTTTGGAAAAAAGTCGACGTCGACTTATTCCAGGACCCAGAAAAGAATTGTAGAAAGTTTGGTAACGATAGCCAAGTAGTGACTGAGTTATTAGAGGACAAACAAACATACTATGTATATATAGATTACAAAGGTAATTCAGTGAGAAATTAAAATATTATATCCTGTTTCTTTTCCGATTACAAAGAAAAGTTTGTTTTTAGTGTCACATTTGACAACTTAAAAATTTGTGGATTGCAGTTATTATTTAAACTAATTATGATTTTATATTGCATTAAACAGTTTTACATAATGCGCCTCCTACGAAGATTACAGATAGCCTTAGAGTATCACTCAAACGTCGTTGCTGAAGTTGTTCCGGACACTTGCAACTTATACATTTTCGGGGATGGCTAAACTCGTCGGTCATTTAGCCACCTTATCACCGAAAACGTTGTCCAAGGTGTACCGCAGGAGGCGACCGAAATATACCCATGTCAGGGGCGTAGCTAGAGGGGGGCAAGGGGGGGCATCTGTCGCGGGCGCAGAATCCAAGAAGCGCCAAACTGATGTTACGACATTTTAGAATTAAATGTTTTCCATCCTTGGCAACCAGTAGGGGACGCGAAATCTTCAGTTGTCCCTGGGCGCTGAAAACCCTAGCTACGGCTCTGGAAAACAGAAGTTCTGTCTTACTTTTGAGAAGAACATTCCGAGGGACGAACCCGAAAGTCTTCTATTTCCCTATCAGAAATCTCTTGAGAAGACTATCGGCTCGACCGTATCTGAAGTGCCCCCATGCAACAAAGGCACTATACATTTACAATCATTCATGTTTTCTCCGGGACTCGAACTCAGGTACAAGTGGCAACTGACTTACCTGCCACCGTGCCAATAGGGTGGGCTCAGCTCACTGAAAGGTTAATACCTCAAACGATATTCGCTTTTTAATATGAAGGATAATTATAAATGAACAATTATTAACACTCACCAAGTTTCTTTAAAGGAAAAGCAACATCAAAATATTTTTCATAATAGCTGAGCGTTTTACTCCCCATTTCTAATGCGTAACTTGTCTTCTCGATATGATGTGGTGCGGTATAAATCCTCAACTGCAAGGAACAAAATATAAATTACCCGTTATGCACGAGTTTATACAAGTAACTACTATTTTTACAATAAAAATAAATTTTCGCAAAATTTAAATACCCTGACTCCATTTTCTGTAATCGTTTCTTTAAATTTGAAATCACAGACAACCACTGCCAGAAGATAAGTTACCATGGGCACTGTTTTTTCAAATTTTGTCAATAGACGACCATTATCCAGCTCAACGATCTCCTAAAAATATAAAGTCAGGAAAGTTATAAGCGCAATAAAAACCTTTTGTATTTAATAGTTTGCTGATCTATTCATTACTAAATTAAAAAAATGATAATACATAGAATATGTGTTATGTTTTTCGAATGTTTATTTTTGATTTAATAATGAGTATTACTATGAATTAAATGCATGATTATTAAAATGCATGTCAATCTCATTTTTATTCAATTGAAATTCGTAAACTAAATATTGAACGTATTTTCTTATGCCATTCATATGTTAAGTTACAAACTAACACTGATGCTATTACAAAGAAGCAAAGTTTGCGATAACATCTATAGAACAAAGAAATAGTTCATTACTATCGTAGTTACCCTTTACTTTCCAAAACGTTTTTAAAGCATAGTATTTAAAATAAACATACAAGTTAAACTAATCGTATTCCATGAAAGATTTGAGTTGTGTCATCAATATTTAATAGCTGAAGACAGCTGCTCAATTACTGTTTCTTTTGAGTTTATCCTGTGTTGCTGGAGGATAAAGTTACATAAGAATTCTTAGCTGAAAATGAACAGTTCAGAGAATGACAGAGGACAATATTTCCTTGACAATTATGAATTCTACTTCCCGTTTTGGTTCCCGTTCAGCGTTAACCCTGGCCTGAAGGAAGGTATAGTTTTGGAATAATGTACTATAAATTCAGCTTTAGCTAATTAGAAATTAACCTGCACAAGATAATCTACAAAATATCGATTAGTTTATGGTTCTGAAAATGCAAACTGTAGCTCAAGCTTTACAAGTTAAAACAAAATTTTAATTTCTATAGAGATGTTCGCTAGATCCTTTCATCTGAATTTTAATAAGTATTAGATCCTATCACTCGCGGAACCCTAGACAATCATGGAAGCTCCATTAGGAAACCTGTTAATATGGTTTATATAAGTGTTATTTTATAAATAAGTGGACTAAGCCTTAATTTCAGAACAATATAGAAATAGAGAAAGACCGATTGTGCTAATTGATACGCTTGGCTGTTGAGATATTAAGTGATATTAACTGCAGATAATTAGTCCTTTATAACTACGATTATATGGCTGATTCTTGCGCAAGCAGTTTTATTCGCAATTAAATGTTGGACCCTCAAAACGTACGTAAATGAGTGCAGCGCTGAATTCCTGCATCACTCATACCAGTTGAGGTTTCCTTGAAATGTTTTGTTGAATCTTTTCAGTGATTATCGTGGATAAATCTTCATCAACTGGTTGCCGAAAGGCACCACAGTAAATGACTATGAAAGAGTGGAATATTTGAGGAAGAAAACTGAGGTCAATCGACCCAGAAGCCGTCTCGAGGCGTCATTCTTTTGCAGAAAAATGCAAGGCTGTATACAGTAGCTGACATTTTGCCAAAAATCGGGGAGTTCCGCTGGGATGTGCTACCCCATCCTCCATCTTCACCCTGTGCTTTTCATTGGTTCGGTCCAAAGAAGAGAGTCCAGAAAGGAAAGCGCTTAGTTTCGGATAACGAAGTGCAAAATGCATTCATTTCCTTCATGGATTCACAGTCACCCTTAAATGTTCTACAGAAAAGAATTCTCAGGGAAGTGTATTTGTCGTATCGTTATTGGAACAACCATTTATAATGTTGTAAGAGTCATTAGGTTATTTTAAAGTAGGAGATGGGACAAATATGCGGTGCCCTCGCCGGGACTTGAACCCTGGACCTCTTGAATATGCGTCGAGCATGATTCCAATCACACTACGAAGGCATGCGGAATAAAGGAAGAAAATACCCTATAATATATCAAATAAAAATCATTTCTAGAATTAAGATAATAAAGTGCATCTATTTATCAAGCAATTCATATATTATACATACTATATGCTTATACTGCATGCATTACATATTTATATGCTGTGTGTGTTATATTATTCAATTATATAAAAATTCGAACTCTTTCGAATGTTTTCTGTAAGAAATAAAATCTTTCAAAGGGTTATATTTTTAATGCTTTTTTAGATGTTTAATGTTTTATTATTTACCTTTTTACATAACATATTGTACAGTAGTTTCATACCTGCTCACTGAAGTTTTCTTATAATGTCATAAATATCATTAGAAAATCACAGAAATATCTGTGCTTAGATCATCGCATTTGAATAACTGAATGCCATTTTATATAAAAAACGCTATAAAAATATTCGTCTTAAAAGCGCTTCATATGACAGCTTTGAACTAATTGAACTTAACGTGTCAGTAATTTGTCTATGTTAAACAACGCGCAAGCAATTGTTTTGCTCTTTGACAGACGAACTACATGGGTTATTTCATAAGCTTGGACAACTACGAGAATATCTTTTAAGTTTACGCTTATTGAACCATTTTTAAAATTAAGAACATAGCTGCATGATCAATCATTCAAGAGATATTTTATCTTATAAACTTTTCGAGAAGCACTGCATAATTTATATGTTGATTTTGAATCTATTACATGTTAAATTTAATCTTCATGTATCATTTTCTTAAATTCTTCATTTGGTTAATTAAAAAACATTTTATTTTATTTTTAGACAGAAAATTTTAGCAGACGACTAAGAATGATTTTTTTAAATGATTTATCTTCTACTTAATTAAGAATTTTGTTTGCTCTGTTTTAGATTGATTTAAATTCTTATTTGTAAATATTTTTTTTTTCCAAACGCAGGTGAAAGAGATTTAAATTAATCACTGCATGCAAACATGGATTTCCTCGAATGAAAGGATTATTTACAAGAATATTGACTTATATGCTATAAAATAATGAATATAATTGAGGCAGATGTGATATAATTAAACTAAAGAACCTCAATAAAATCTCGAAAGTTTCCAAAATATATGTACCTCCGCCATTGTATTGGAGAGAGCGAAATAGCTAGCATTATGAATGATTTGGACAGTAAATGTTGATTTAAATATCGGCTCGTCAAAACAAGGAAAGGCTCTCCTTGCTGCTATGGCTTCGAACTGCGTTACAGCTAAATATCTGAAAAAAAAAAAAAAAAAAAAGGTATATCGATTTTAAATTGGTTAAATCACTATATTATTATTAATAATAATGGAAATAAGTAAAATAAATGGTTATATCAATATACGTACTATATCCACTTGATATTTCTACGCATGAAGATTTCACTTTAATTAAATGTATGATTATAATATTCATACTTAAATGCTCATTTTTAATGCAGCAGGTGATAGTTATAATTACTACAAATCCTTTTTATTTGACATGAGTATTATCTAGTTGACTAATACATCTTGATCAACCTTTTATTTGAGAAATAGTTTTAGTTCTCAGGTATCATATATTAAAACACTAGTTTATGGTGATTGTGTCATAGTCCATTCGTAAAACTCTGAAAAATGCTTTTGAAAGCAGACTAATAAAATATGTTCTTCTACGTATTGCATGGATGTTCCAACAAGCCCTACTCTAACTCGTAAGTTGTTTTTATTCCATTTTTTATCTCCAGAATAAACTGCGCTTTGGAATTTCGGCAGCATTTACAATAAGCCGTCTAAAGCGTGGAAATAATGAAAAAATACAATACTAATTTTCGTTTCTGTAATCAGCGGTTTCGAGTTATGCCAGTACACTTATTTATTACTATAGTTCAATAATATATTTGATTATTTGAAACAAATATGTAAAATAAATTTTATAATGTTATAAGTAAGTGCATGCAATCTTGTCATATGTCCTTGTTTGCTGACATATGCCTTTCAATTGTAGAGATGATAGTATATAGCTAGCAAATGAAAGATCTTGGATTCGATTTCCAGTGTTGGCCCAGTTGATTTTTTAAGATTTCGGCTCACAACAAACCAGATACCCCTACTATATATTGCTTTTCCCTTTAAAACGTACTTAGAAATCTAATATTTTGACAGTATAAGTGAACAAACAGAAAAATGATGTATTAAGCTAACTGCCACAAAACAGCAGTTTTCAACAGACCGCTGTCCAAATTGCGAATTTTCCTATCTATTTGTTGTTTGTCAAGATGAAAATAATAACAGAAAAGACAAACTCATTGTGCCTAAATTAATATATATAAAAGTTTTTTACATTAACGGACAAAACAATTATACATACTTTCTTTCTTTTGAATCAGGATCCACATACGAACTCTTGTACAGTCCTTTTAAAGAGAGTGTTAAGGGTCCTTCAAACTGGAAAAATAGTTTATATCTACCAGGTGGCACTTTATCGCTAACTTTCAATACAAGGTAGTTATTCTCTTCATATGGAAATACATCTTCTAACATCAAAAGTGAATCATCTAAGGCGAATCTTACTTCAGACCTGGTGACATTTAAATCCAGCACATGTACCAAAAAGCAGTCTGTTGGTTTTTGCACATTTACTGTAATTGTTACAGTACCATTAAAGGTATCTGCTTCCAGCATCGGATAAAGAAGAATTTCGTAGTGCTCTGGTTTAATATGAGATGGTAGGCGATAGTAATACCATGGTGCTGTTCCTTCTACTTCCAGCCATGATTTTACTCTTTGTTTGTAAGTCTTAAGCCATTTGATATTGTTCTGGACATTCTCCAAAGCCTGCTGGCGTTTTCGTTTCCCTGCACCAGCGTCTGGGTATTTAGCAAAGAAAGCTTTCATCTGTTGAGAAATTCAAAATGTGACTTAAAGTTAACACATAAAATATTAGGAAAATAAAAAAAAATAATGAAAAGTTTAAAATAGATGATAAAAAATTAATGAAAAGTTTCCCCATAGTAAAACTATGATACTATGGAAAGGTAGGCTACAGTTTATAGATTAATTGATGAATTGAAAAAAAACTACATTCTGTGCCATTCTAGAAATAGTATAGGAGTTTTACATAAAAGAAAAGCATAATTTTTTTTAACAACTCTGTTTTGGAAAAGAGAAGGTCATTTCTGTTGCAAGAGTATGAGTTAGTAGAATGAAAGAAAAATCCCTAAAAATAGTCAAATGTAAAACTGTAGCTGTTTGGTCTAAAAAAAGAAAAATTCTAAAGAAAGTTCGAAACACTTTTCTTTCCATTGACAAATCAATTATTTTTTGTTAAATCCATGTACTAAAATCCTAAAAAATATTTTGATTTATCCTTTTATTTCTAACTGTATTGTGAGTTTAAATTGACGATGATAACTTCTTTACACTCAGATTCACTTACACTAACTTAAAATATTTTGGTGGACTCAGGAAACGCGCGTAAATTAAAACAGATCTTGCATAGGGAAACGCAGAAGCAATTGTGTGAAGTACATAGAAGAATCTTACCTCTTGCAATTCTAAATCCGATGTAAAGTAACTACAAACTTTTTTTACTGCTAGTCCAAGATAGCGGTCATTTAATGTGAACCTAAAATGTACAATAGATTTAAGTACATAAAAAGTAAAAAAGTTAAAAAATTTAATGTATATTAAAAAGAGAAATATTTAGCTTACTTCTCCACTAATACTGGCCACTTTTCTTTTATAAAATTCCACACGAAAGGCCGACCTACAGGATTACCTGCAATATAGCTTAATACGGCAAAGAAATCCTGCCTTCGAATTTTTGTATCATCCATTGCATATTCTAAATACCTGACAGAAACAAAAAATGCATATATATATATATGAATAAATAAATAAATAAAAATAAATAAAAAGCAGTTCAAAACCTAATCCAATTGCGCGCTGAAAGCCATATACGGAAAACCAAAAAATAGAAATAGAGTGGCAAACTGCATGAAAGGAGCAAAACATGCCGAAACGAAAAATAAAAAGGAAATTTACACCTTTCGCTGCATCGTCATAAGGGGGTTAGTGCGACGACGAAAAAAGTAAATAAAACAGCTTGTTTCTGAATTAAAAAAGACACAAATTAGAGTTCAGAAAAGCAGTCAAAGTAATCTGTGTCTCTGTCAGGAGAGTAATGCCAAAATTCTAAAATTAGAGCAGTAAAAAAAATGCTTAAAATATTATTTTGAATAGACTGAATCCCCCCCCGAAAAAAAAAATGTAAATACAAGCAATCCAATACAGAAAAAATAAAAGCATGAAAATTTTAAAGCCACACACGCAGGATTAAGCTTTTTAAAAAATTATAGCATCGAAATCATAAAGATAATAAAACTTTAAAATCTAATGATAATTGCTATTTTTTCAATTTGAGTGGGTCGAGTAAAAAAAAAAAAAAAAAAAAAAAAAAAAAAAAATCCAAAATATAAAAAAATAATAAACAAAAATTAGACCAAAAAATAAAATATAAAAGGAGGAGTTTATTCTTAAAGTATGTCACGTTAGAGCAAACAAATATTTGAAATTAAAAAATGTGTTAGATTATTGTTTGTAAATTAACAAAATACAGTTGCTAGGTCTAAAATTTTCTAAATTATATGAACTAGGAATTTAAAATAATCATATATTCAAAGGATTATGTAAAATTTTTTATAAAATTATACTTTAATATTAATGCAGAAATATTTGGATAAAAAACTGGTAGACTTAGAAAACTAAAGAATTAAGTTCAATTTCATTTATCAGCATCTTTTAAATTTTGGTACGAAACGTGTACGGCTTTAAAATACTTGTACGGCTGCTCCATTATTTGATCTTTTTGTTACTAGCAAAGAGAATAGTCATCATTTATTAGCTCAAAAACTAGCGGCGAGATTAACTTGCATTACCGATAGTTGAGAAATTCACTGCTTGAATTGTTCACATAAGTATTTCAACTTACCTCCTAACTACCCGAAACAGCATTCTATTTATTCATAACAAATTACTCATTTGCAAGTCTATTTCGCATCCCATGCTCTGCTATGCTTTTCTGAAGAAAAAATATTAGCATAAATTTATATAGAATTTTATTATAATAAATCTTAAGTTAGTTGAGATACTATTTCCAAGCTTTGTATTTTTTGATTCGGGCTAGGGTTCGCGCAGGTACCCGGATGTCTTAAATGAAAATGCCCTATGAAAATTTTACAACAATTTTGGACATAATTTTATTGACCTGTGAATAAGATACGGAACTCGGACGTGAGCGAGACCATACAATAAAGTTTTTCGCTCAGGAGGAGATTCTTCCTTAAGGAACTTGTTCCACATGTAATTCCAATGTTCTTCCCTTCCGATTTCGGCCATGCCATAGTGGTATACCAAACTTCTCAAGTTCGACGGAATTCTAGAATAAAAATAAGACACGTTAGCTTTAATTCATGTACATTTAAGTCATTATGTATATTATAGTCAAAAATATCAAGAGATATAAATGTAGAAATTTTCGATTAAATTTTTTCGACCTATTGAGAGTTTGAAGTTATATAAAACATTATTCCATATCTTAACTAAATCTCTCATTTATAAATGTTATTTCCTAAACTTTTTGTAAATGATATATTCATTGACTGGATTGGACTGAAATTGAATTACTGGGATGCAAGCGAAGACTGTCTTCTTAAGAAGAAGAATGCTTTCGTGGAGCGCTTTCTAAGGGAATCTGGTTCCTATTCCAATTGGCTATGAGGAAAATCACAAAAATTCCATGCAGCCGGCTGAGCACTTTCACTAGAACATTTCCGTAACAGATGAATTATATCAAATCTGTCTCTGCAGATCTCATAAGGATGTCATATACGCGTATCATATGGGGAATATCGATACATGTTTCGAGGAACGACGATTTTTTATACGTATATTCCTGTAATTTCAATTACGTCATAAAATATTTGCGTGAGAGAGAAATTCTAATCAAATATTTAAATTCATCAGCAGAAATACCGTCAAATTAACATATTTTGTTTTGCATGTAGAAGAAAAATACACATTTTAATCAGTATTTTGAAAAGGACTATTAAAATATATTCTTATTTGAATTAATTATTTGTCTTCAGTATGACGACAGGGAAAGATAAGGGAAGTAAAACAAAAGGAAAGCAGACAAAATAACAAAGAAAAAAAAATAATAAAGCGCTGGATCCATTCTGGTAGCAAGAAAATTTCTTTCTCTTTTTTTTATTACTGCTGATCAGGAAGAAGGGAAGGATTACTTTCATTAACGCATACAACGCGTCTCTTATTTATGATACGTTATGTTATTACCTACCTTCTTCTTCCTCAGCCAAATATTAAAGTGCGTTAAAGAACTTAATAGGAACTTGTTTTTGTGATTTATATCATGCATATGTGTCTACATGTATATATGTTGCTTTTTCTTTTCATTTTCTTTTTTACATTTTCGTTGCTTAACCCTCTCACTGCGTACTTTTTTTTTAAATCAAAGTACGTTCAAAAATTGCGTATTTTTTTATTACATATTTATTTTATAAAATACAAAGATAAAAACATATACAATAATGAAAATATTTGCATAATGTAATATTTTGCATATCAATTTTGCACCACTGTCGAATTTTGCACGTTTTCAATAGAAACTGAATTTTCAGATTCATCACTATCTGCAAAGGAATCCAAGAAATTCTCACCAGTTTCGCTATCTGCGATTCCAGCGCTCTGATACGCCATCTAGTGGCTAAAAGGTGGAAACATTAAAAATCGGTATTTACTTTTGACAATACTACGTAGTTTGTGAAGCGTGTTGTGATCGAAAAGTAATTAAACGTTTATTTTTTATTGTTGTGGGCATTATGTGTTTAGTCGTTTTAACCACTTGTAAGACAAATCTAAAGAAAATGCAATATCATGTAATCAAAAGTTAACTATATGTTATATACCAGGATTGCTTTCTCAAGTACTGAAGGATAGGTAATACTTAATTTGCTTTTTTTTTTTTTTTTTAGTTTTTTTAAATGTTTGGTCATGGTATCATTCATTGTATGTATTTTCTATAATACACAAATAATACTAATATTTCTATTACAAGTGTCGTTTTTAATTTTTAAGTGCTTGCTTGTTGATATTCTCAAAATTGCATCTGATAATTAGTGCTATTATGGTTATAATAGATATAAATACAATAGACGAATATAATAGATCAATATATTTTTTAGTATATAATTGATTCAATATCATTTTATGGAAAAAAAAAAAAAGACACTTTTGACTGCACAGATTTTCTGGCAAATCCCAAGTTAAATACATATGAAATCATTTGTTTACAATCAGTGAACGTTAAAATAAGCTACCTGTCGCAATACAATAAAACAGTGGCACAATTTCCTACAACAGCCAACAGTTCCTCCTTTACATGAACAAGAATTTTTTTATTATTTTATTTTACTTTTCCTTTTTAACGATGAAATGTCCTTCCATTTCATGCGATCAGGACGCTATACAACTTATCCTTAAATAGGAAGCCAAAATTTGTAAATTGGATTTTTCAAGTAAAATTCCGTGCATTACCAAATGATCCGCTTTTTAAAATTCTCCCTGCTTCAGTAACACAGTGAGAATTTACGCCTCTTTGAACAAAATCAAACATTTCGGAAAAGCTAAGCAACTCCATTTTTGAATGTACGAAGTCAGATCACAAATCAAAATACCGGCTTTTATCCGCCACATTAATGTGTAAAAGCGCCACCTATAGGTGAATTGAATCGCGGATAACTATCTTCAATATACTTGAATCAGAGTCACAACTACTATCAATGTTGGAAATATCGTCAGGAATATAGGTTATATCACTCGCGAAACGCTTCCTGCCAGACATCTTTCAGCTCTGAAAAGCGCGCCCAAAATGCTACATTACGTATTCTTGTAATATTTGGCAGATGGTAACTAACGCCATCTGTTAGTCCACATCTAAGTAAACAATTAAACACCACAGAAAAGCCGAAAGGAAACCTTGAACGGGAAAGAGCGCGTTGCACAGTTAAATAGACGGCAAAAATTCATCCCCGCGGAAATCGTGGGTTGCGCAAATTTTGCTACTTCTACGTTGTCCGTGGAAATCGCGGGATGCGCAGCGAGAGGATTAAGCTATAAAATAAGAAATATGAATAACTAATGTCTCGCGAAAGACAAATCTTGTTTTTCAAATTTACATTATAATTGTTTTTAGCCCAAAGGGACAATTTGTCCAGAAGGGCTATTAGTTTCGTTTTCGCATTTTGCGTTGATTCACTGTAAATGGCGAATTACTTTTTGAATTGTTGCCACCAAATATTAGAGCCCTGTATCATATTTAAAGAAATTAAATAACGAAGAATCTGCATAAATATAGGTGTGTTTCTCGCATTGTGATAAAACAACGATACCTAGAGGAGAATGGGACTATTCGCCGTCAAGACACATTTTTCTTTACACGACTGTACTATATCTTGCCATATTATATTAAGTTGATTTCGTTTAATAATTCTGTTTAGTTTAATAATTCAATTTAATTTAATAAAAATTTGATACAATTTTTTTTGCACAATTTTATACAGATACAACGTTAAACATGAAATATTAATTTTAAGAGAGTAATGTGCTGACACGATTGCAAAGTAATTCCTTTTTCAATTCAGATTTCATAAAAATGACAATTTCCTGCTTGCAGAGTGACTTTTGTAATTAAACACATCTTATAAAATTACTAAAATATTAACTAGAACTAATGACTTTTTTCTGAAAAGAATTTGTTTGAAAGGGTTTTCTCAGTGTGATAATTAAATATATTATATGTATACAATAGTGTTACAATAAAAAATTGTTAATTTCTTGCTTTCCTGCTTGCATGAGTGATTCCTCTGAACTAGCCGATTAAAATTTCAAGAAATTTTGTCGAATCATGTAAATATTGTACTTTCATAATTTTAAAATCAATAATATAAGTTCTGTTATATCAGAGGTTTAGCCGCAGTTCTCTTTGACATAATTTTTTAACTGTAATTTCTTTATATCTCATACTCGTAAACAACTATATACATTTCAAGCAACCTTTATTAAGTATACAAAAAGTAAAGAGAATTATTTAACTAAACAAATTTAATAAGAGTATAATACGGCAAGATACAATACAGTTATGCAAAGGGAAATATGTCTTGACGGCGAAACTTCCCGTCGGCGAAACGACCACGGTGAAATGACGACGGCGAAAAGTCCTAGACCTTACCTAGATCCATCAAATTTTGAATAGAGTACGTTTCCACCCGAATATGGGCATTTGGAAGCTGAAATTTGGAATTTGTTTTATTATATATCTCATATTTTCTAAAACTTTAACGAATTTTTGATTAACAAACTCAAGAATTTCAAAGCGAGCAATGGCAACACTGTACGGGGGGGGGGTAAGAAAATTTTTATCTCCAGCGTGCGAGATTGTGTATCTGAAATTCTAAAGCTATGCTCTTTTAAATATTTTGTGATATTGCTGTTGAATGGAATTTTATGGTTAAAGTGCGAAGAGTAATTTATTTAATAAATAAAGGTAAGACACAAAACGTTGAAAAAATGCCCCTTCCGGCGTAGTATAAAATCTTAAAGCTTTCACATTTCTTTTTTCTTATTTACTCCAATTCATGGAATTTTTATATTTCCCCAGTCTCCTTTATGAAGTACGTAGAAATTGTTAAAAATTGCGTTATTATGATTGATTCCAACAATTTTATTATACAAGAAACAGAGGCAAACAGTAGGATAATTTATTGAATTAATTCCTTTAGTTGTCTGCTGTAGGTGAACTCATCACAAATATACTTTTAGACATATTGTTATAAAAACATTAAGAGGTACAACACGCCATATATTTAATATTATAAATTAGAATTTTCCAAACACATATAGGGATTTTAGCTAGATCAGTAATCTAGAACTAACTCTCAGAAAGGAAATGTACCTTGCTTTCTAGCCATTTGATGGGAATCATAGCAAACCCCAAGAGAATAAACACTCACAAAGTGCATCTCTAGCAAAAAAAATTGCAACATGCTCGTGACGAATAGGCTGGCTACATGCGATTTACGGAGTTTTTTCCACGTACGCAAATACACGCCATATTCCGTAAGCAAAATTCTGTTTTCCCGTGTACGTAAATACAAGCCAATTTCCATAAAAACATTTTGTTGGAAAGAATCTTTCCAACGGCAGATTGCTTTTGCTTGTTTTGTTCTTATCATTGAACCAACCCACTTAATTAAAGAATAATGTACTACTCACTCTTGACCTTGAGTCCAATTTTGAAACAACTGTGATGCATCTGCTAGGCAGTTTTGGTTTCCACTGTGACATGCTAAACCAATTATAGTTGTTCTTAACAAACTGCAAACAAATTTAACAAGTTATTATTGACTTTGAAAATAAACATATAAACTCGCAAATTATGTTTAACTTATAGCCCATTTTGTAGCATATGAAAATGGATTAAGGACTATAAATATCACTAAATTGGTTAAGTACAATTAAACACATTTTATTTAAATACAAATACAACTGACAAAATTTTTTAAATATGCATGTTATATAAGCTTACTTGTCTAAATGGTTTTCTGTAGTTTTCCAACCTAATGTTTTATATAAAGCATCTGTGAGATCTTTTACATAGCTCTGAAATAGAAGCGGAAAGGAAACAATAAATACACACATGGAAAATGCATCCAATAAATGTACTTATCTAACTAAAATGACAAAAGCGTACATTTTATGCAAATGGTAAATTTGTCATAATAAAATTTTAAGTGATATGATTAAGAATATATTCGTCATAATAAATTGTAAACTTCGGCCCCCCCCAAAAAAAAAAACACTGAAGTTGGTGCGGAAACTGACTTTATTTACTATTGTACGAAGAGTTTCATATGTAAACAAATGGCGCCCTCTTTTGGCTTAGTACCACTTAAAAAAACTTTTAAACTGTTGATAATTCTACAAATATTGCATGCAGATTACTAAAGGCATAAAAACCTTTACCGGAACATACGAACAACACAATTCAATCACTTTTAAGTAAAAAATACGCACTTTACTAACATATAAGAATAAAAGAACTAAGCTGGGTAACAAAGAGGGTGCCCACCAAAGTCCGATACCACCCGTTTCACTGCCGAACGGCTGCCGCTGTAGTCATAAAATTGGTGTCCAGGTATAGTAAAGTGGCTATGCACTATTACGTGAGATAATTTTATCAGCACCACCTGGTGGAAAACAGCGTATCTATCTCAAAAACGGTATGAGATAGGAAGAAAAAGTGAATTACAAAGTTCTAGAGCATCATCGATTTAGTACAAAAAGACACCTCGTGGACATGAATATTAAGAACAGAATGTTTTAAATGTGCATTTGTTTATTCACAGTTTTCGAAACTGTGACGTCATGAAACAATCTTAGAAAGAAAAAGACAACTAGTTATCACCAGCTATCTTTGTTTTTGATGTTTTAAACTTCACCTAAAATGCACATCTGGACCCTTGGTGACACATTTGCACAAGCATCTGTAATATGTCGTTGCAGTGCTTGTGGTGAAGGGTCACACACACCTGTTGTTTGAGGTATCCACACAGGAAAAACTCCATTGGAGTCTGAGGTGAACGTGGGGGGGGGCACTGTTCGAAACCCCTGTACCCGATTATTTTTTCTCCAGATTCCTCCATCAGGTACTGGTTCACTTTCAACGTCATGGGTGAACCAACCATTCGGGAGTTGAAGCAACGGCAGGTTCTCAGCAAAATCTGGTATGTCTTACAGAAGTTCTCACTATTGTGAGGCCATTAGCATATCATGGTAAAATATTGAGCCAATTAGCCTGTTCTAAGTCCCCACCAAACATTAATTGAAAACTGTATTTGATGTCAAACGTTGACAGAACATGATGGATTTTTCCAGTGCCCAGTAATGGGTGTTCTGCCTATTGTATATTTCATTTCGTGAAAAGCATGCCTCATCCGTCCACACTAAACCTGCCAAGAATTTTGGCTGGACATTTATCAGGTTCATGACGAAGTTGCATTATGTGAAACATCTCTAGGCATTCCCCAGTAATGCCTGAATAGGTGTTGGTCAGTATGGATGAGCACCTGATTCATTTAGGATTTTCCCAAAGTAACTTTTTGAAAGACCACAGTTTTCACTTATCTCTCTTGTGCTACTGTTTGGATATGTGAGGCCGTATGATAAGACATCTTCCAGTTGCACTTCCCGCCCTACCTTTGCTGGTCTGCCAGTTCGAAGTCAGCTAGTCATGCAGCCTATCTCCTTTAAACGTTTCACAACCTGTAGGATAGTTTTTTATGAAGAATGCAGGCCTGCAAGAAAACATTGCCGATGCAACTGCATTGCTGATCATTCCTTGTGCTCACATTCATGTAAGTAGATTCTCAATAATCATTTTTTGAAAATTGCTCCATGATAATGAACTTCAACATACAAGCATGAGGACATATCTCTTTTATAGCTCAGGTGAAACGGCGTGGCGTTTCGTACACTATTTGCAATGCACAAATTCACATACCAAGCTCAAGTTGCATTGAATTGATGTGTTTTGCGACACGATTGTGCGTGATCTGTATGTTATCATCTCTGTTTGTAAAGACAATCAGTATAAGGATGCACCCCATGGGTTTTGAACCAGACTCCACTCGACTGTGAATTACATGCGACATCGCTGTGCCACGATATGGCCATGTTTTTCATCCGAAAAATAATCTTTTCTCCTTTTGTTCAAGTTTTGTGACGTCACAGTTTTGGAAATAGCGAAGAAACAAATGTGCGTTTTCAGTGTTCTGTCTTTAGCATTCATATTCATAAGGTGTATATTCGTATCGACAATGCTCTACAGTTTTGTAATTCACTTTTTCTCCCCATTTCATATTGCTTTTAAGATAGAGAGGCTAACTCTGCCATTGTTCACCAGGTGGCTCTGTAAGCTAGCTCATCAAGTAGCGCATAGCCACTTTACTATACCTAGATACCAATTTTATGAATATAGCTGCAGCCGTTTGGCAGTTAAACGAGTGATATCGGACTTTAGTGGGCATCCTGTAATATATACAGGATGTTTCAGCAAATCGGTTACAAACTTTCAGGAGAGATACAGTACATCTAGGCGATGGAAAGTCACATAACAGTGCATGGTCGGAAACGCTTTCTTCTTCCGGTAGTAACGACACAAAACACAAAAAAAGGAAGTACAGAAACAATGTGACAGAACATGTTTTATTATGTTTACCACAGCAAAACCAACAAATAAGCTCAAAAACAGACAACAATCGTCATTAAAGAAAAATGTTCGAAATTACGACCCCGGACCGTGATGCAGACCTCACATCTCCGGCGCATAGAAGATCTGCTTCACGCAAAGAAGATAGTATGGAAGATGCGTGACGGTCACGGTCCGAGTCGTAATTTCGAACACCTTTTTTGATGACGATCGTCTGTTTTTGTTCTTATTTCTTGGTTTCCGCTGCAGTAAACAAAATAAACATTATTCCCACCCTGCTCGTGTCCTCCCTCTCTTATGTTTTGTAACGTCACTATCACATGCCAGGAAAACGTTTCCGACCATGTAATTGCTGTGCGTTTTACTGTGTGTGTGGATCGTCTAAGATTTCCTAAAGATCTGAGAAACAAAATTCCTTGTCCTCGCAACAAAAATAGGTCATATGTTAAAGTCGAAGTCATAAGATCAATCAAGATGAATTTAGTCTCTGAGAAAATTCTTCATAATTTAAAGAAAGACTTGTAAAGATCATGACTTGTGAAGATCGTGACTTAAAGAGAACGTGAAATATAAATAATAGGACAAGAACTTGCATTTTACGGTGTGGCAACAAGAAGAGGATTCGAAAGATTTTTATATATATTTTTGTTTAGAGAGTTGAATGTTTTTAATTTTTGAATAGTTGTAAGAGTTTTAACTGCAGTAGTTAAGAGTTTAAAATTTTGATAGTTTAGAGCTGCAGTATTTATTTTTTTTGGTTCTGTTTTAAAATTTAAATAAAAGTATTTTGTTTATTCTGAAAAATTAGCTTTATTCTTCCTACAAGATTCAATATTCATTATATTGAAATAAGGAAAGGATTTTTACTGGCGCAGTCGACAGGATCGGAGTTTCCCCGCATATAATTACGAACCAAAATAACTCAGGTGAGAGCTCAATTTACCTTGTAAACGTAAAATAATTAATTAAGATTATGAAAAGTTAATTATTGTTTCCGTCATGGAATCTTAGTTTATTTACTTGTCAAAGTAATGAATACAGTGTTCAAATGTAATTTTCAAAGTAATGAATACGCCAGTGTTCAAATGTAATTTTCAAAGTAATGAATACGCCAGTGTTCAAATGTAATTTTCAAAGTAATGAATACGCCAGTGTTCAAATGTAATTTCGTTTGACTCGCCAGAGTAGGTGAACAACACATTAAGTATTGATTCCACTGATTGATTTTCGTGCCGAATAAAATTAAATTCATTGTGAATTATATTTAAATAGAAAAAGAAAAGAAAAAAAAAAATTAGCTTTTTTCATAAAACTAAGAGTCTATTGGCTGAATAAAATCGAGACATGGCTTTTATGGGACGTGGGAAAAAAGAGGATTTGCTGGCTTTAGCTGCTGAATTAGAAATTCAAGTAGATCCAAGTATGAAAATCGTGGCGATAAAAAATGAAATAATTCAAAGTGATACATATGATGAAGCATTTGCTAAAGAAGTGTTTTTAACGATTATTGAAGAGAGGAAAAGAAAAGAAGAGGAACAGCGAAGAAAGAAAGGAGAAAGAAGAGATTGAGGAACAGCGAAGAAAGGAGAAAGAAGAGATTGAGGAACAACGAAGGAAAGAAGAATTAGAAGCACAGCAGAAAAGAGAGCAAATGGAGTTTGAATTGAGGAAACTCGAAATTGAAACCAACAAATGAAAATGGACATCATAATTTTGATTTAATTAAGCTTATTCCCAAATTCAATTTAAGACACGATGATATTGTGATTTATTTATCCTTATTTGAAAGACAAGCTAAAAGGACAAAGATTGATCCTAAAGATTGGGTTTCATGTTTATTGACTTTAATGCCATCTGAAATCATTCAATTAATTGGTAGGGAATCTGAAGAAAATTTTGAAGATTATGAGTACATTAAGGCCATTTTATTGAAGAGATTTAAATTAAATCCTGAAAGCTTTAGAAAAAAATTTGTGATGCACCAAAAGAGCGCTGAAAAATCATGGAGAGATTTTTGCTACGAAATTACAAGTTATTTTGAAGAATGGATCAATGGTCTTGAAATCACAAATTTTGCCGCGTTAAAAGACTTGATTATTACTGACCAAATTAAGAAAAGAGTACCCTATGAAGTAAGAGACCATCTTCTTGACGACTGGCGGGCGAAGTTCGTTTCTCCAACCAAATTAGCTGATAAACTTGACGAATATGACAGTGTTCGTAATATCTCAAAACGGACTGGTGGTAATCCATCAGCAGACAGAACTAATAAAAAATGGCAACCTCGTTCTCCACTTCCAGAAAGAGCTTTCAGAAATAAATCGCTGTGTCCGCTGAAAACACGCCAAGAGTGTACCCATCCCGTAAGAGTGACGAACCACAAAAGCCTAGT